TGGAAATGAAATCTCCGGCTCTCTTTTAGTTCCTTTTTTTTTGTTACGAAATGCGTTAAACTGCTTTTTTTAATTTATCTTTATTTACAGACATGAGAAGGTGCAAGAGAACTGTATAGATCTCGTTGGACGTATAGCCGATCGAGGTCCGGAGTTTGTTTCTGCAAGGGAATGGATGAGAATTTGCTTTGAACTCCTGGAGTTGCTAAAGGCTCACAAGAAAGCCATCAGGCGAGCGACGGTCAACACATTTGGTTATATAGCGAAGGCCATTGGACCTCATGATGTACTTGCCACCCTTCTTAACAACTTGAAGGTTCAGGAAAGACAGAACAGGTACAAAAATAAATGTATAATTAATAAGTTTGTATCAAAATATTATTATACACTATACAAATATATATAATTATAATATAAACTAGCGAATGCCTTTATTTTTCTTTGAATACATAATATTCACTAGAAGTGTTTTTCACTGTAAGGAAACGAAACTTAAGTTAATTTTGACAAGTAACATAATATGATAATCTCAGTTGGATAGCTTTACAATTATTATTCTATAGTTCACTGTTACTTCACTACTATTCGAACGAGAAATGTCAAGTCCTGTTAAAGATTATAATAACAATATGTATTACTATGTACATTATACTATAAAAAAATATTTTCCTCATAACATTTGACTTTGTTTCCATTACAGGGTGTGTACAACAGTAGCCATCGCTATAGTAGCGGAAACTTGTTCCCCATTCACAGTATTGCCAGCCCTAATGAATGAATACCGAGTGCCAGAACTCAACGTACAAAATGGCGTGCTCAAATCGTTATCTTTCCTCTTTGAGTACATCGGGGAGATGGGGAAAGATTATATTTATGCTGTGTGTCCGCTGCTGGAGGATGCTTTAATGGATCGGTAAGATAATTTGTAATTCTGGTCTTTATATTGCTTATATTTGGATTTGTAAGCCACTGTTAATAAGTAGAGATGTTTGACTCGTAATGGTAATGGGGCAAACATTTTTCTACTATGCTAACATTAATATTTTTTTTTGATCAGTTTCCTATGCCTACGCATCCGAAACAAGGAATTCTGAATTGTACTCTGTGCTAATCGATAGGCTGTTCTATCCTTACTCTTCCGTGTTACACCGACAAAAAACTTCGCGCATAACACGTTGTTGGCCAATAAAGACCGAAAGAAAACCTTTGCCATAACATTGAAATTAAATCCGGATAATCAGGGAGAATACTCGTTTTTCGACTCTTATTCTAAAACGTTTATCTTTCTTGGTACATATATATAACATTTCCCCTCTCATTTATGAAAACTAAGTTTAATAGCGCTCTATTAACTAAAGTACTCTATCTGTCACATTTTTCACTACGCGTGGAAGAAGAAATAGCGTGTGCATCAGGTGGGCTGACCAAACTTGATATCGCAATCAAACTGTACGCCATATTTCTCTATATCATTTTGATAATATTTGCTACCTTCAAAGACACATTGTCTACCTCTGCATTAAAGAACATAATAAAGAAATAAAGTGGCCAGCCATTCTGACGTCAGGTTGGCTGACCACTATCATTTAATTGGGTTCTAAGAATCTTTGAGTGATAGCGTTTTTATACATTATTTACTACCTATTTTCTACCTGAGCAAACAAACTTTAAAATAAGTCTCAGAAGCCCATACATTTTTTTATTATTAATGTAGCCATGAGGGCATAAAAACGCCTACAAAAAAGGTTAAGCAAGAGTTCGGCACGTATAACTTATCACTACATTGCAGGCGCTTAGAGAAATATGGCGTATAGTTTGATTGCGATATCAAATTTTGTCAGCCCACCTGACGGTCTCGAATACGAAGTTCCGGATCGAGTGTACGATATAGAGGTGATGGCATGGCAACAATAGTTTGAATTGGTGAAGCCGTAGCAGACCGTGTGCATTACCCCAGCAAAACTTTTTTGAATATCGCAATACGAGCTTTGAATTCACTTTGATACAACTATTAATCATTTAAATACTTTCAGAGATCTAGTTCACAGACAGACCGCATGTGCAGCTATAAAACATATGGCACTGGGCGTATACGGCTTTGGTTGTGAGGACGCATTGGTCCATCTCCTCAACCACGTGTGGCCGAACATATTCGAGACCTCGCCGCATTTGGTACAGGCTTTCATGGATGCTGTGGAAGGAATGAGGGTCGCCCTTGGACCTATCAAAATTTTGCAATACGCTTTACAGGTTTGAATTTTTGCACATTAATTAAACTAAACTATGTATGTATACTATTTATTTAATTCAACATTTAATCTGTAAGGCTTATATGAATGCTTATTTCGAATTGGCAAGGACAGAAATCTGATCACCTGTCTTAAATATTATCAACTGGGTGCAAAAATATGTCTGGCCTATTAGGGATTTCAAATCTGAATATGTCTAATACACTGCTCGACAATTTAGGACTTCTTACTTCGCTCCAATAATACTAGGTTCTTACATATGAAATTGGCGTTTTGTATGGGAGGAACAAATAGTAGATTTAAAAAAAATTGATGTATTTAATTAATTAAAGTATGTACCATTGCTATCTTATAGGTAGTTCATTGATCTCTTTACAAAAAACTATTGGGACGGGAGTCAATAAAAACTTTGAAGGCGGTTTCGACTGCCCCATCAGAGTTAAATTTTCTACCTTGCAAGAAGTTATACAAAACTCACCGCAGCCTGCAGCAAAGTCAGACGTAGTTTGCGATGGATCCGCTTCCACACTAACCTTCTTCGTTATCAAGTTTGGTCTCCGGTCGTCCACGGGGCTGGTTCTGCAGGTCGAAATTTCCAGAAGGTTGGAACCAGAAACGCACTGTGTTTTCTTTTGCGACACCGCCGCCATACACATAATTTATCCTTCGAGCCGTTTCTGCAGCACTGGTTGCGTGCGTTTCTGGAACTCGTACTCGTAAATAACGCGATATTTCATGTTTTCCATTTTATAGTGACGCAAAGCAAAAAAATTAAAACGGGAAAATGAAATGAATCATGGATTTCGAAAAACAAATGCACGAGTTAATAGTTTTAAAAAATTAAATTGGGAATTCCTAACGAAATATTTGAGATCAAAGTGGCCAGTTCGACAAAATGCCAATTTCATATGTAAGGACCTAATATATATTGTATTTTAAATCTTCAGCACTTTATGACGCAATAACGGCTGGAGTGATCGAATTTTTTGTAAATTTTCCTTAAAGAGAAGTCGGTGAAGCACGGACAAATTCATCAAAAAATAACATGTCTTATTTTAATTTAAACTAATGAAGTTTTTTTTCAGGGCTTGTTTCATCCAGCCAGAAAAGTTAGAGATGTATATTGGAAGATATACAACACTCTATATATAGGCGGTCAAGACGCGCTGGTAGGAGGTTACCCCAGAATACACAATGACCCCAACAATCACTTTATTCGTTATGAATTAGATTATATGTTGTAAACCCTAATATTAAAAGTGTGGCTAGATTTGTTTGCGCAATAAACTTTGATCACAAGTATAATTTGTTTTATTATTTTTTTTTAATTCATCTAAACTATTGATATCAATTTATAAATGTAAATGGCGTTTCACGTTCGATTAAATTTTGCAAAAAAAAACCGAAACGAAGTAATCTTGACTAATTTAATTTTTCCACATTAAATATTCTGACTAAAGGGAAATAAAACCATACATTACTTGATAAAATGTTACTAGATATTTATTTCTTAATACATTTATAAATAGACCAGGGTCGATAATTTTTGAAACCAAAACAAATAATAGTAGGATGGAAACCATCGAAAAAGGAGAATTTTTTTTCTCCTCCTTTTCTAATGGCTTTCATCCTACTATTTTTTTTTTCCATTTTTATAATTTTTAAAGGCTTCTTCCCTGGTCTAAAAGCGCACTGGTTGTTTTTTTTTTTTTAATCTTTTCATTATAACATCGCTTATATCGCATATTTATAAATAATTGTTGACTAGAGAATAGCTAGTTTAATAATACCTCATAATAGACTAATTTAAAAAAATATTTTGCTACATAATTATGATTCATAATAATTGTTGCATTGAACCAACCAGAATTATCAAGTATTTGACATCTAAAAAGAGTAGGTACATTAATTATAAGCTAATAAGCCAGCAAATAACAATACTGTTTAAATTCGATTCTTTCATTTCACGAGAATTTCCAAATCCTTTTCCTTACATTTCTTATTAATAAACGAGCCCAGATGCTAAATAGTCCAGAAAAAAGCCATTTGGTTTTTACGACATGTGAGTGTTATTTTTTCAAATACATGAATAATCTTCCATAAAAATAACACAATAGATAATACAAAATATTTTACATTGTAGCTTATACCCGCTCAGGTTAAGAGTGTAAAGTTTTATTTGCAGTAGAGGATTAATCAAGAATTACACTGCTTGCCATGAGACAGGTCGAACAATTGTTCAAGCTGTAGATTAATTATGATTAATACTATTTAGAAAATGATTTCAACAAGCGAAAAAGGAAGAGTTTTTTTCATATTTTTGTTAGTGTGTGACCTGACATGAGGCCGGAGGCGACCGATCCGCCTGAACTCTTTAACTCATTCAACTTTTAACTCACCGCTTTAACTCATCACATGAGGTCAAGGCAGCGGCAGCTTTTGCCTTGGCTGCAACTTGTAAAGTTGATAAAAAAAAGCTAAGCCATGAGAATTAAAATCCATAAATTGTTTGCAGTCAGTATTGTTATTTGTAGTCTTTTACAAGATCATAAATCGGTAAACATGGAATTCGTGATAGATCACTAACCTGTTAGGAATGTTTCTTACACAAAATATAAAGGAGATCAAATTATAAACAGTAAAATATATTAATATCATTGCTTGTGCGAAAAATAACCGCAGTTTAAACTTATATATAAGGCTTATTTGGAATATAATTAATGAGCAAAAAAATAATTATAACGATATAAACTACGAGCCTCTTACGGATACATAAACACAAGGAACATTCAAAATAAGTTGCCAAGCTACTCCTAATACGTTGTCTGTGGTGAGACCAAGTCTTCTATGCAGAGAGCCGTCAGATCGCACCGCCCAAACCTCTTGATCCTTGCATGATACATGTTTGTATGTGACGTCACAATCTGAAATAAATTAATACTTAAATTAATTAATTAAAATTAATGGTGAGAGACGTGCGGGGAAAGAATTATATTATATTCTCACAATTTTTTTTTTATTTTTTCTGAAAGAGATCTCTTAGTAGTAGAGTAGTGTGTGTATAACATTCGAAAAACCATTTAAACCACGTATAGCTAAATCAAATTTAAAAATCCATATACTATGATATACTTGAACTTTTTGGTAATTAGGATTGATAAATATTATAACTCGTTCAATGCAAAACAATTATTTGAAATGTTTGTCCGTGATGTGAGCCTATAAGGCTTGTGGCTAATAATGCAACCCTCTCAAGATAGCTTCATCATTGCCAGAAGTGGCCAGTTACGCCAGGCCAGAGAGTACACTCGCGGGCGTGCTTACCATCGATGCCAGGCGGAATCAGGGAAGATGACTATATCTTAGAGTCTAAGCTATAGTTAATTATATATAGTATAATTTTTTTCATATCAATCAAGACAATCATTGTCTAACTGTTAGGGTGTAACAGTCTTGTCAACGTTAGAAAAAGTAATTTAGCAGCGACCTCAAATCCCACGACGGTTCTCTCTCTACACAGACCTTTTCTAACCAGGCTTATACTCTGTTATTTTAAAAGTAAGTTTTTTTCAGTAGTCATATGTGTTGTCTGTCAAAAGCCTTACGCAAATTCTTTATAAGAACTTAAATAAATCTAAACACAATTAGAATCTAATATTGACGAATTTTTGGTTCACACTCACAATTTTAGGTTCGGCCCGTATTCTAGAACGTTAATCAAATGTAAATCTACTTACAAGAGCTGTCAAACCGTGTTACAGTATGAAGTTTGGCATATTTGACAACGCTCAAGACGAGGTTCTGATATTGAAATATGGACCTACAAATAGGGATTTTTTTCCCCATTTCTTGGACTGCACGGTTTGTGCGTCAGCCATAAACACGTCTTTACAGTTCAGCCATTTTGATAAAATCCCTACAAATAGGTTTTCTTCGCATATGTGGAAAAATAAATAAATTTGTAACGTAAAAAAAAAGAAAAAAGTATAATGGATTGTCTTGATTCTTACCTGTGATATATTTCCAATGCTTTCCACAAGGTTCTAATGGAGAAATATCAGTTCTTACAGCTAAACCTCCATTCGTGAGGAGGACCCACGCAGATGTCGAAGACAATGAAACCATCTTGGCCCCAGCGCCCGATTTATGACTACTCCCAAAACTGCCCTTAGGTGCTTCTATAAGCCTCCAACTTGTTCCTGCGGGGTTCTCTTTGGTAATTCCATCTCTATAGTAAAGTTCTGCTTTCCTCCCCACCACCCAAATAATGTTGTTGCAAACACTTATAGCGACTAAAGCCTGTGGGCTGTTGATGTGTTCCCAATGATTCCCCTGAAATAGATACACATTTACATATTTATTTTTATTATTAAAACAGTTTTTTTAGTTCCCTTATAACTAGTACTTCTGGACACGATGTAGCACAAGCCAAGATAACTGGCGACCAGAACCACTTGGGAGTCACTTTTGACTATTCCTCACTCTAAAACACGTCAAATTTGACTGACATTTACAGCAACAAATGCGTCAGATGTTGAAATTTCCAGCCATGAAAAACAGTTTTTTTATATAATATTTAACTAAAGTACTATTTTGTCTCTTTCCACCAAATTATGTTCACGCTGTAACGATAAGAGATAGATGAGTTATTTAGTTAAAACGTTGCCATTAGACTTATTTCGTTTTTATGAATAAGGAGATTTTTATATATTTATTATAATTAACTTACAACAGGTGTAGCTGCAGTGACTCCGGTTTTATATATAACTTCACCGCCTAGAGTTACAGCCCAAACCGATACGTCCTTATCATTGCCAGCCTAAAATGTATAATAAGATATTTAGTCAAATTTGTCATGGATTGAACGAACTGACAAAATTTACAAAATACTCTACAACATTTAGGGTACGATACAGAAACAAGAACCAACTGCTGTAAAGCCCTCGAAACCAGGCCAATCGCTCATATGTCAAACGTTTGTTTTTCTAATACATAATACATTTCTCTAAGACGTAAGGGGCCATTCCAGTATAACGTAAGCAGATTTACTGCAATTTATCCCCCCCCTCTTGTCTACAAAAGTAAGCAAAGCTCTCAAAAATAATAGTACATAAATTTATTAATTTTTTGTAGGAATCCTCGAATATGCATTTCCTTTTCAAACATAGACAATGTATGGGGTAATATGTGTAAAAAAGTAAATAATTTCTGTTGACTTAATCACCAAATAAGAAAATCAAAAAACGTACGTAATTCTTGGGACCTAATGAGGAAAATAATGTAACTAGCTTACATTATATAAACATAGATTTTTAGAAACAAAAACATGGCGATTTAAAAGTGTGAGTGAGTGTGGAGGTTTTATCGCCATTATTGTCTTTCTCGTCTTAGACCGGGAGATAGTGACACAAAATAGTTAGTCATTGGTACCAGTATGGCCTTATTACGAAATTTAAAAAAATAATTTCGATAGTCATAGCGCTGGTACCGGCGGCCCAAGCGCGTGGGCGTTAGTCGAACTCGTCGGATTATTTACGACTTTTAAACGAGTTTCTACACCAACTTCATCCATTGGGCTATATTAGGGAGCTCCAGGTCATGGTGAAAATCGAACACTCATGCCATACTTACAGACGGTATTTTATACTCAACTCCCACCTTTACAAGCGTCATCTACATTACGGAGACCATAAATAAAAATAACAAAACCTAACACATATGAATGATGTGATTTAATAAACAATAAAATAATAATGAATTTTAAACTAATTCTTACCCACAGTGATAAATCTAGTAATGCAGTGGATCCAGCGCGAATCCAAGGGCCTTCTGTATTAATTTGTGCCTTTCTATACCAACGGCGTCGTCGTACACAATCTGTAAAGATTTTCTTCCCGTGATAGGGCGCCGGAAAATCTGTGGCATATTGCCATCCATCACTATCAACCCCACCTGGTGTGTTGTAGTCTATCATCCATTCAGAAATCTGAAATTTAAAGTAAAACGTTAAATTGCATAAAATTTTTAAGCATCAAAATAAATCTGAGCACATAAGTACTACCCAATGCCAGTGACGACTTAACAATTTCGTGTGCTCCCTGGTTCGTTTAAGTTTGCCTGTTACGTCACTCCACATGTAGCGATCAGTCGGTAGGCCCGTAGAAGTGTACCCAGATAAAGGATTCCACCTCTGATTTTCATATATACAATATGTTTGCGTGTCTGTCATAGCGTGTATTCCATCTGTACTACCAAGGCCTGCCAAGATTAATCATTATCAAAAAAATTCAAAGGATAATGTAAATATTTACTTGAATAACATACCTTTTAAGGGTCCACCACCCCAACCGCCCGTATATACCCATGCTCTATGATCATGAGATAGTCCCCAAACAATATTATTTGCACAACATTCTACTTTTCTTAAATAGCCACCAATCATTTTCCAAAACATTTCGTCAGGGCCAATAATGATACTTGTAGAAGAATATTCCATATTGAACAATTTCAAAGGACCAAAAATATTAACAGATGTTATGTTTTCAGGGCTTAATCTATGTTTGAAGAAACAAAAATGTTTATCATTCACAGTGACAGTAAATCCAGCTGTATCACATAAAATCTTTATGGTAAATTCTTGACCAGGAATTAAAGGAAGTTGATACCGTTCTTCTGGTCCCCAGTGACCAGATTTTTTTGTGTTGCAAACAACAGCACCCTCTTCAAATCGCATGTTTAAATGGAATGGAATTTCGGTTACTTCAGATTCAATTTTATGTGTTTGCTTTACTATTTCTGGACCTTGTAAATTTATATGAAATCTGTTAATGTCGTCAAACAAACAACCTGCGACTTTTAAAGTACTACCAGGAGGAAAATTATTGTACAACATACATGTGTATCCCTTTTGTATGTCTTTACCAAACAGCTGAAATTCTTTTGTATAATTACCAGCACTTTTTTCAGCGGTTAAAAGTGCTGGAGCTGGATCCCAGTTTAATACATCTCCTGAATTTGTAACTATCCACACTGAACTTTCTGATGGTCTTCCTGAGAGTCCATAAATCTGAGATATTATATCTACTAATACATTGAGCCATTCTTCTTGTTCCATTTCTGAGATAAATTGAATTTTTAATATTTGACTGCTTTGGGTGGGTATTGTTAGAGAAACTCGAGGACTACCTGGTTCAGAACAAGATGTAATACTAGTTACTTCACTTAGATTAAATATAAATTTAATAGTACCATCAGGTTTGAAAACTGACAGTGTTCCCGTATTTTCAGAAGCATGCCAATAAAGAGATATTATACAATCTTCACTAGTGTTATTATAGTTAACTATTCTTGACTCACAACTACGGGTCCAACCTTTTTCTTCAATAGCTATACCAAATTTGGTAACATCTATACTTAAACTGTTATTTCTAGTTTTTAATTCATCTAATATTTGCAATCTCCATTTAGCTACTATGTCAGTATTATGTACATTTTGAGAATCACTAAACCAATGAGGTGGTTGTACTGAATCAAGAGAGCATGCACCAGCTGCAACAAAACTCCAAGCCACATCACAGGTTCCCCATGCAGTTTGGCTGACTTCTTCATCAAAAAACATTCCAGAATCAAGGTCAAAAACACTACTGTCACTGTCTGGTTGTGCCTCCATTCCAACAACGGAGCCCACACTTCGAACTGGGCTCCAAGCTCTAGGATTTTTTAAGGTAGTCTCGTAACTTTTACCAGTCATATCCATATTTTCTACATTCATGCTAATTTTTTGCTTTAATTCCTTTGAGGGTTTAAGAGGTAGGGTATTTTCTATTGGGGCAGAGTGTGATTCCTCCCATGAATTCCGTAAATTTATATTGGACTTCAGTTCTGGAGTGTTTTCATTAAGTAAACTTAAACTTTGGTGTTTCTGATTTGATGCTGAAGAAACTATACTAGTAGCACTTGATGTTCGACTAACTTGCATATTGGCTTGCACCATTCTCCATCTCTTGCCTGTCAGCTCATTAGCATTAATTCCACTTCTCCAATAAACACTTTTGTTTGATCCTCCAATTGCAAATACTTGGTCATTTATTCCCACTGAAATGTGTACCATATTTCCATTTATTTCTAACCACCCATTACCCATAGCAGCCATTTCTGAACATCCAGAAGCATTTCCATCTATTCCTTTCCTAAACCATACTCTTGTGTCCGCACTTACTGCCCACACAACATTTCGTCCAACAGACACAACAGTTAACTTTGTCTCATTAGGTGATTTCACTTCTAACCAAGCTTCACCTGTTGGACAATCTTTGCTAATACCTTTACGTACTATTGCTCTGCCAGACCATAACAAAGCCCAAACTAAGCCAGATGGGCCTACAGAAATTTGTTTTATATCACAGTTTGGTGGAATACTTACATTTATCCATTTTAATCCTTCTGGTGAGGTAGTACTTACTCCTGCTCTATACATAACTCTCCCTTGAGCAGTTATGGCCCAAACAGCGAGAGTGCCAGGAGCAGCATAGGGTATTTGATTACCACCAATACTCACATCAATGAAAGGTTCCTGAGTTGGATCTTTGTGTAATGGTGCTATTGCACACCAAGAATTCATAGCACTAAACTTTCTGTACCTTATCCATTTTCGCCTGCGGACACAAGACTTCCATTGCTTAACTGGTCCAAATTGAGCAGGAAAGTCGACAGCATAACTCCACCCATCATGATCTAGAGGCTGACCATCTAAGGTTAACTCCAATTGCCAATCTCCTTCCCATTGCCAAGCCATTGATGGTAATCGAATACAGTCAATAGATCTGTCTTTTGTACCATCTTGAGACGAAAAGTGATAGCGATCTGTAGGCAATAGCCGGCCACTAAATCCCTCCAAGGGCAGCCAACGCTCATTTTCATATGACTCTTCTTTGACTCTTATTGGAATCTCTAAGCCATGAACATGTAAATATATTTGCCGATCACCTCCTACAGCCCATAAAAAATGGGGCACAGCTGATAGCGTTTTGAACTCCAAACCTAAATACATGAATTCTCTCCAACAGGATCCATTAGTAGGAAGAGCATATACCTTTCCCTCATTATTTATGGAAAATAAAAGGGAGTTGCTCGACATCTTAAGATAACTTTACCTTTGGAATTTTAATCACGGCTTATAAAAATATGTGTATTCGATATTTAATTAATTATAAATTGTCCCATGTTTATTGTACGTTTTTGGTATCTTTTAATAAAAAACATTTCAAGACCATAAATAAATTGAATTGATCTACTGGAAGTGTAAGACTACAACGCAAAATGAAAATTGCAAATGTATTGTAAAGACTAAAGTGTAAACACTAAACTGTAAACTAGTATTCTGGCCAATGGACTTTGTATCCGGCTAATAAATAAATTAAAAAAAATAACTAGTATTCTGTATTGGTATTTGGCAAATGGCAACTAAAATTGTTTACTCACTCTCGACTAAAATTTGATGTCATACGCCCTCTTAACTTCAACCCCTTCAACTACACCGATTATATTATAAAATATTTTCTTAAAAAACTAATACTTAAAAATATATCAAAGTTTATATAGTAATTATTTTAAACTAAAAACTAGTTTATTATTTTATAACTTTATTACCGACTTTATTACTTTTAATTAACGTTATTTTTCACTTTATCAGTTTTCATGTAAACATTATTAACGATAAGACTTTACCGGATGAAAATTCCACATATATTTTTTATATATTTATTTAATATTTTATTTTATTTTTACATTCGTGTATTTAATTCATTCATATATTTTTTTAAAGTAAAACAATTTTTACAATTTATTTTCATTTTAATTAATTGCTTTAGCCACTATCCACCCTATATGTAGCAACGTGGTTGATAAATATTTGGATAATATATCGGGATATATATCTATAAAATGAAAGAACATATTTTAAAATAATAAGTAAATAGAAAATACAAATTTTAAATACTCATATCACATAACCTTAAAAATCATTACATACCTTCTTACAACACAGCAATTCTCATAAGAGACGATTTGTGGGAATACCTAATGTAAAACGTTAACGGCAACTGCGACTCCAAGAAAAGAGTCATTCCTAAGAAGACTTAAAGGCAAGGTCAACTATTTTACTAATATCTCCACCAAACTAAAACAAATTAAAGGGTGTAATACATCTAAGGAGGTATGGGACAAACTAAAGTCTATATATCAAAGTTCAGCCCAAGAAACTACCTATTAAAACAATTAGTACTGAAGAAAATGACTCCACAAGAAGACTGAGAGACCATCTCATAATTTTATGGATGTAGTAGGTAAATTAGAAGACATGGATGTCAAAATTCATCCAGAGTTATTAAGTATAATGATGTTATACAGTTTACCTACAAATTTCGATAGCTTCGGAACGGCAATTGAGTCGAGAGATATTCTCCAATCCTGAAAATTTAAAAATAAAAATCGTAGAAGAATACGACGCAAGAAGGCAAACTGAAGCGAGTGAACCTCAGACTTCAGAAGCATTCTACACAAAACGAAATACAATTTTCAAGAATTGCAATAAAAAGCATTCCATAAACTTTTTCAAAAAAACCCAATATCCCAATAAAACTAAAATCAAAAAAGACTTATAACATCTTTTAACACAGAACTCAAATTAAATTTATTTCTTACATTGTACGTCACATATGACTATAAAATATACTCCATAACTTAATCCCCCACTACACTCTAAACTACCTCAAAAAACATACACCAATTAAGGGAAAGGAAAAGCCAACTTTATACAAAGGATAACATATAAAATTAGTCTTTCAACACATTATATTACCTATTTGTCAATAATCTATTTCTCAGCAAAATTACGATCATCTATAAGGTTCTATTTGAAAAGGAACAACCATTCACAAAGGCGAAACTGTATTAAACTCACAAATGGATTATACTATCTTAATTTGATAAACCAACCATTTCACCCTATGATAACGAAATTATGAAATGGCACAAGAAATTAGGTCACTCAATAAAGACCTAAGAAATGGTTAAAAATAAAATGATGCGAGACTCACTTTAAAGAAAAACTTTGGTACCTTAACTTTATCAAAGGAAAATTTTCCACTCTACCATTCAACCATACAATATCTCACCAATCTCCAATAATTCACATACTTTCCCATTTAGAATAATCAATGCCATCAAATATTTCTACATTTATTACGATTATACAAATACTCTTTATATTTCTTAAAAGAAAAGAGCCAATATCGATAAATTCAAGAATATAAAAACTATGTTGAACTGTTTCATAAGAAGAAAATTCAAAATCTACAATCTGATAATGGAGGCGAATTTAGGTCTAAACGTTTGACAAATTCCTTAAAGATAATGGTATAACCAAACTATCTCCCTTATACCCCACACAAAATGGCATGAGTGAAAGGAAAAATCGGTCCATGATAAGCCATTCTATCTATCCATATCCCTCAAAGTTTTGGGCAAAGCATAAACACTCAAACTATTTAATAAATAAACCCACAAGACTCTCACAATTCCCCTATAGAAATGGGTACAACAACACCATCAAATCACCTACACTATTCGGAAATAGACTTTTGATGAACAAAAACAAGAGGAAAATTCACACTAAACCACAGAAGGAGTATTCTTGGGATATCGGAATATACAAAAGGTTTTAAATCTATATACCCAAAGGAATGATGTTATTATCACAAGACTAAAAGTAATGGAAAAGATGCATTATGCGTACTCCTCTAAAACCAAATCATACTCCAAACCTAAACAAACAAATAGAAATTCAAAAACAAGAAACAAAATTAATGAGAACTTACCTTTTCAAATCTAACCCCTTTATTCCACTCTAGTCAAATCCTTTATAACCATTTTTCTCAATGAAGACCACAAAGAGACTGAACCACCACATACCAAAGATTATGAGTTAAGTCCTCTACCATGTTACATCATTAAATAATGACACTATACTCTCTTTACTCACATACAAAAACTTACTCCCACAACAAATTGGGAGAAGGCGATACATCTATGATCATTCAAAATACACCTTATTTTACAATCAAACCAAGACACATACTTCGAACAAATGGTATTTCGGATTAAAGATGACGGTCTACAGCTAATTAGTTGTACTATAAAAGCTATTTTAAACTTTATACCCATAGTAAGTCAATCTCATTAAAAACTTTATTAGCAATTGCCCATCTATCTTCTACTTCATACATTTGACGTCAAACACTTTCTTTAGAGTTATCAATGAAGTTTATATGAAATTACCTTTGCTATGAGACTACTCATACTACTACTATTTCCATTAAAAAAATCTTGTACGGATTAAAACAACTCCATTTACATGAACCTTTTACCCAACATGTTTGATTTGGGATTCAAGACAATCAAAACAGTCATCTTTTCATAACGAAGATAAGTCAATAATATTCGACTATTCTTATACGGACTTTCATAGAAAAGACAAGAAAAAGATCGAAGTTATTTTGAAAAACTTGAAACCAAATTTGAAATGAAAAAGAATGTAAATCCAAGTACTTATCTGGGTATGGAAATAAAAAACTCAAAAGAAGGAATAATTCTTACTCAAGATCTTACATAAATACGTACTGGAAAAATACAACATGAAAAATGCCAAACCTTGTGACACCCCCAATATGATTCAAAGTCTACACAGGAAACTGCCCAGAGAAGGAATATCCCTATAGAACATGGAAGTTTACTTATCTGTCTACCAGAACCACCGGATATCGCACAACGGTCAATCAAGTTAGCAGGAAGGTCGAAAACCCCACTAAGAAGACGTCACAAAAGTCAAGAAAATATTCAAATATTTAGTGGGAACCAAAGAGAAAGGCATTTTGTTCAAACGAAACAAACCAATAGAGAAATCATCTTACACACTCAATTATCTGGAGACCCATTGACCGAAGAAGCACTTCTGGCTCCGTCTAATTATAGCCGATGGACCAATATCATGGGCATCCAAGAGACAGCCTATAGTAGCGCCATCGTCGACTGAAGCTGAGTACATAGCCGCAGCAGACTGTTGCAAAGAGGCATTGTATCTCAAATCTCTATTACAAGAAATAACCGGTTTGGACATAAAAATAAATTTGCATGTTGATAATCAAAGTTCGATTCAACTTGTGAAGTCTGGATCCTTCAACAAAAGGTCAAAGCACATAGACGTGCGGTACCATTTCATACATGAACATTTCGTGCATGGATTAATAAATATTAGCTACTGTCCCACAGAAATTCAGTTAGCTGACATAATGACAAAACCATTATCAAAAATAAAATTTGAAAGACACTGTGCAAGATTAATGCATATATAGAAACGTGTCTCGGCAACATGAGTGAACATCAGGAGAAGGTGTTGGAAGGTCATGGTGCTGTCCACATATAATTGTCTTTGATGCACTGCATTTAAATTTGGAATATCTTTTATTTTATTTTTTACATGTGCGGTGTCATTTAATTCAGTTCATATATTTTCTCTTACAAGTAAACACAATGTTTTACAATTTATTTTGCATTTTAATTAATTGCTTTAGCCACTAGTCCACCCTATCAGTTGGTACCTATTACCTCTACTTGATCTGTGGTACGATTAATTTTTGTAAGGTTATGTTTTAAGTGGCAGCTAGGTGAGGGGTACCGGGTTCGATTCCCGGTTCGAGAGCAAGTTTTAATTTAATTTAAATTTGTTCTCGGCCTTTGGGAGGGTTGTACCGGGCGAGTGCTTAAACCGTACATGGAGGATATGGTCGAATTTCTAAAGACAAGCATGAATTATAAAAAATCCTATACTTGACGCTGGCTAATGCACAAATCGTGCCAGAGCTACTAAAAAAAAAAAAAAAAAAAGTTGTTTATAAAATATAAATCTTAAATTATAGAATTAATTAAGACTATATGATAATAAAATAAATATTTTTTTGATTTAAGTGGACTTTCTTTAGAGATTTTACTATTTCATATGAGTCATTTATATGAATCTAAAAAAAAATACTTTTTTTAAAACCTGGCACAATATCAACTAAAATAATGAATTGCGACGTATCCTTGACGAAAATAGATTTACAAGTTATGAAAATTCTGATGGTATAATGAGTTATCTGAGTAAATTTGCGAAAAACATTAAGCATCCTCTTTTAAGGGGAATGGCTTCTTATGGAGTGATATGGCCTATTTCAAGTTTCATTCAACAAACTTTCGAAGGAAGGAGTTTTGGTAATAAAATTGAGTTAAAATATATAAAAGCATATAAATATTTAAGCAACTATATAAACTACATATAATTGCGTAATTAATATTTCAGAAGACCATTCTTATGATTGGTGGAGATGTGCTCGTTTTGGATTTTATGGATCATGCTATGTTGCTCCCACCTTGTATATTTGGTTTTCAATTGCAAGTGCTGTGTGGCCAGGGAGTACATTGAAGTCTGCTGTGATAAAGGTATCGTATCTGTATTATTTCAGACATTAATATATAAAATTTGGTGGTCTAATAATACAATATTTTCTCGTAGACTTGTATTGAAACAATAACCTACACACCATTTGCAATGTGCAGCTTTTACTTTGGAATGAGCTTATTAGAGGGTAAATCAGTGGAAGATGCAGTTGCAGAAGTTAAAGCAAAGTTTTGGCCCACATATAAGGTAATTAATTTCTTAGTGTTAGTATTATAGTGTAAGATATGGAAAATATTAATTTTATACTTGATTATTATTATTTATGGTCTCAAAAAATTTATAAAGATTCAGAGTTGGTAAAATGACTGGTGACTATTTACTTTGATAATTTTAACAATTATAAAATAAATTTAAAGACAGAATAATATTTACAGGTAGGAGCCTCAGTGTGGCCTGTTGTAGCAGTAACAAACTTTTGGCTAATCCCTCCAGCAAACAGAGTTCCTTTCATAAGTGTTTGTAGTCTTATATGGACATGTTTCTTAGCTTATATGAAACATTTAGACAAAGAAAATGTGCCTCAAAGTTTTAAACATAGATCTGTTTAATGATAGGGATAGTTTAAGATTAGCCAAATTTTTTAGTAAATTTTGACATAAAATGTCAAGTACATAGTACTAAATTTTTTATATTAGTTATTTATATTTTCATGAGTGATATTTTAGTAAAGTCAAATAAATAGAAGTATTATGAGATATAAGTATTTACATACATTTACTAAGTATTCATCATTATTAAATTATACAAAGTCATTCCATCTCATTAATATACTTATAATCTATATTACTTTGTTATTTACAGTAGTTATTAACAGTTAAAAATTCAACAAATAAATATTGTTATTGTTCATGTTTTGCAGTTTTATTATCAGCATCAGCATGATTTAAATTATGTTCTAAGTATTTTAAACAGGCGTTGTTTCTATTTGAAAAACAAATTTTAACATATTATAACATTTATTATATGACTAGGGTACTTCCTACTTATTCTAGGGTTATTTTATTGGAGATTCCTTTTGCAGAAAAAACATTTATATAATTTTTTATAAATTGTATAAGGGAGCGTTCAAGTACTACGTAACGAATTTTGGGAAGGGAGGTCTTTTGTAAAACGTTACAATGCGGGGCGGGGATTGAATTAAGTTTTGTTAATATTATTTTCGACTTTCCAGTACTTTACACCACATAATGATAACTTTTAGGTATAAAGAGTCACTAGGTGGTCAAGAAACATTTTACTATACTTGGGTACAGAAAAACGTTAAGGCGCGTTACATGGGGCCCCCCCCTTACCCGTAACGCGCCTTAACCGGGTTAATAATCTCCAAAAATTGCGTGACGTAATACTTAACCACTCCCTAATACATAGGAAAGGTAGCTGTTACATAATACACAAGTAACATTATTTTAAGATGTACATATTTTTATAAAGCTACAATAAAAACTAAGCTCGAGTAAATGAATGATTACGGTACATTTCAATGATAAGTGCTTCATCTGGATACTGAATCCTCTTTTCATAATTTAACACATAAGCGAATCCATCAAAGTGACAAAAATCTTTTGAAATCTGATCTTCTAAATGATAAAGACGACTTGGTTGTGGCAGATTAATAAGATTCTCTGTAATGAAAAACAAGAACATGAATTAATTTACGATTAGGCATTGCACTGTTATTTAATAAATTGAAACAATAATAATAAAATTTAATTTAACCTTGTGCCACATATCTCTCTGAGTGATCAGCTGCTGTTACACTGTAGAAAGGCTGTTTACGGCTAACATTATCATCTGAGATTTCCAAGCGATCCCCATTTAAATCCCAATCACGGATTATACAAGTGTATTGATAATTTTTATGATAGCAAATCATTCCTACAGCATAAAGGACATTTTTGTCGTGTTTCTTTGATTTTAACTAAAATAAGCAAAATTAATTATTTTAAAAGTTCTTGATGTGTAGGTTTACATAGATATGGTAGTGTTATAATATGATTCCTTACATTTCCTTCTCTTGGATTTACGGACTCTGAGATACACCCTGCATTTAATGATGTCAAAGATAAAATTATTTCCCGGTAGAAATTTTCCAACTGTAAAGAAGTTGGCATTATTTATAATATAAATTCATTCAGTTATTATCGAACTTTCAAACAAACTTATACGTACGTATACAATATCTTTATAATAATATTAATTTATTATATTTTTTTAACTTTTAAACATTTTTAACTTACATATAGAATATTCAATGGTCTGTCTGGAGCACTTATTTCAGGAATCTCAATCAGATAAGCAAATACATTTTTATAAGGATTTTGATAACTGTCGCTTGCACCCAGAAAGTTTAATAAGTGTTGACAATTTTGTACATTCCTGAAAAAAAAAATGTCACATGACATTAATAATTATTCAATGTAACATTTTTATCATTCAATGATGACACAGAAGCAAGGAGAACTTGAAGAAAATGATAGTGGAATGACAGAAGGCAAAAGATCACATGGTCATTCAACAACCAGATGGACCAATCAAGTGAAAGACTGAATTGTCCTCAAAACTCTAGAAGACTCACGAAGCTCTGCAAAGAAACTGGTGGAAACTGATTATCCATTCCAAATGTTTTCTTGTTGACCACAACGTTTAAACATGAGCTAACGACGCAAGAGAGAGAAAATATTGTTAAATACTGAACAATCCATGTAATTTTGTTAAGATTCTGGTGAATATGAAGGTAATATTAATATGCCTGCTCAGAAAAATCATTATTACTCTTAACAAAAATTGGTCTTACAGAAGATAGTAGTTCTTAAGGTACCACAATGAACTAATACTTATGCTTACCAGTTTCGAATTGCTCCCATTGTAACTAAATAATTAGAATATATGTACTTCAAAAATGAGTGTGAGCAGTAGGAATAATTGGTGTGTTCATTGATTTGTGAAAATGGACAACGCTGTTTTGGCTTTAGCTCTCCAGTATCCAAGCTAATTGTATATAGTTTATTAGGACTTATGTCATCTACCCATTCCAGAAACAGGTGATTTGAAAATGCAATCAAGTTAATGTTTACCCCACATTTTCTTGCAACTGCATGATATATAGCGGCTATGGCAACAGCATGTCCACACTTTTTACTCAACACCTGTAATAAAGGCATTTTATATATTTGATCAACATGAATAAATTCATAAGCTCATAACTTTGTTTTGCAGTAAAAACAACTTAAGACACTATAACAACCTTAACAATATTTAATGTATCCAGGTCAGCTGCTGATGTTATTGCAATACGCTTTTGGCCATATAAAACTTGTGACACAGCAGATAGTATTTCACGCCCTGTGATTTTTTTTTTCTCAACTTGAGGACCATTTCTACAATGATGAATCACATCCTTAACATTCTCTACAACTTCATTTAACTGAAACAGCAATTTCCTTTTATTTAATACACATAAATTGGTTATAAATCACAAAAATAATTAAGCATCACTAACCACATCAGCAATCCTTTCATCAGAGTAATAATGGGCTGGATCAATCCATTGAACACAAAAATTAAGTACCAGTTCTGGGTGAATTGGTGGACCATTAAATGCTTGTGCTCTATGTAGTCTAGCCCACTTAATACCAAGATATGTATGCATTAAATAGCAGAGCACAACTTTTGCATAGTGTTGTTCTGTTAAAGTATGCGGCCTAGGTGGAAAACATTTGTAAAAACTTACTTGGTAAATTAATTATAAAGATATTTATAAAATGTGTAAACTTATAAATATTAGTAATATTGTATTTTTACACAACTATTTTATACTTACTTTTCACAAATATTTTGGTTAAGATTCTTGATTGAATTTTTTATTACTTGCTGCAAAACATGCACTGTATAATAATAGCTCAATTCATCTTTAGTGGCAATTGTAAAGAATTTTAGAGAGTCTTCTACAGTCAATTGATTCATTCTCCTGTGGAAAAAAAACCCCTTACTTAAGTTTGCTTACTGCCTTAATAACATTGAAATAGCAGATACTTCATATATACTATAGCTTTTTATATTATACTAACCAGTAAAATTTTGGTGATAAAGCAAGCAGTTCCGTTATAATGTTATTCTTCAAATCAATAAATTCCTTTAGTTGATTAAACCAGTTGCCATTAGAATATTTTAAGATTGTTTTTATAATTTGATGAGGCAACCTATAAAATATATGGCGCTATTAGAAACGAGTCCACAAAATAGTTGATGTTGTAATAAAACAAAAAATTACGAACACTTCTAAGCACTTGGTTTTCCAAAGATGTTGGTTATTAAAAACCACATCAGAGAACCTTTTGCATGTTATTCCAAACGCAATAATATCATTGTATTTGATTTTATGCAACACCATAGCAATTAGCTCATCTGGTAAATCTGTAATTGACCATATCTTTTTGGAGTCTTTATCCATTTCTGAAGAGAACTAATAAGAATTCACTTAAAAAATCATATCAATTCACGCTTAAACAGTCGCCAAATGTTGAATTTATAGCGATAATTGGCGACAGTATAATCTTCACTAAAGTATTAGGACTTAGTTAATAAATAATATTATTATTGGTTCTGTTTTTTATTAATTATCCGTCAAGAGTATAATTTAATACGTTAATCGTTATACGACTTCAATGACACACCCTCCTAAGTTCAGCTTCTGAAGTCTGAACTAAAATGACAGTTCACAGTGTACAATCTGTAGTCTATGCTGTTGCCGTGATAAATTGTTAGATCGTTGATCACAAAAAAAAATATTCGTTCTTACTACAAACAACAACTTGAATGTAGTAAAAATATATTGGATTCCCATTGACAATATTTACAAGAGACGTTGCAGTTTTGTACGAAAATAAAGGAAGTATCGTCATAGATACAAGACGCCGCACGGGCCAGCCCCTGCCCTACCCTACTTACTTAGTATTACGGATTACCTAATACCTTTTGACCTCAGTCAATACTCAATACTCAATTTGTCACCCTCACAAAAAGTGGTTATGTATTACTTCATGCGCATGCGCAATCTTACGTTAATTACTAAAACCTTATTCTTTTATTTGCTCCAAAAGTGCATTTTATTCTAAAGACGACTTTAATTTATTTAACAAGAACTCGTTCATCTTAAAATAATAATTTCCATACATAAAATAATCTTGTACAATAAAACACAAAGTATACCGACTCAACAATCAATTGTCATAGGTTATCCCATTAGGTCGCCGACAGATCTGGTTCAAACTTCAAAGCTAGAAGCGCGCCGCGCACCGCTTCGTGCGTTGCACTTTCCATTTATGAATGTAACTATCTTTTGTGTATATGTCAACGTAAAATTGTAAATACCGTCATCATCACTATCATCTCGCGAGATTGTATGTTGATTGAATTACAGGCGCGTGGCATATTCCGTTCAGCCAATCAGCGCACGAGGTGCGTACCGTTTCACAATTTGACGGTTTGACTTTGATAGATTACAATCTACCGAATAATAATACGTTAAATTGTAAACAGTACGTTGAGTTCACAATCTTTCGACAGTTTACAATCTCGCGAGATAGATTACAATCTAACGGTGTTTACAATTTTACGGTGACATATATAGCATTGCCTACAAAAAAAATGTACGCATGTTTCCAGGCAAGGCAAGGCAATGCCAGTCAAGGCCAGATAAAGATTGGCATTTAACCTTTTAGCCCCCCAACTGGTGGGCCGAGTGCGTCTTGCGCACTGCGCACAGATTTACATAAGGTAGTAGCTGGGAGTAGAAAACGTTTGAATGAATGTGTTACAAGGACCATCCCTTTCTAGGGGAGAAAATATTTATTTTCCCATATTCATAGTGTATGAAACATCAAAGCCTTCAGCCCCCCAACTCAGGTAATGTGGGCCCTAACCCCCTTCAAGGCTACAACACCATCTCGCACCGCATGACAGCTAGTTTATACCTAAGTTTGCAAAAAAATATTTTACTAAGGCCAGTTCACTTAGTTTATTGGTTTCTTTGATTGCTCTAACACAAGTTCAGCACATATTATGGTAGATAAGCCGAAAGAGTCCCGACGCGCGGTTAAGTTACTTTATAAAAGACAACTTGAAGGATTTAAAATTTACGTAAAGACAAGTTTAATAAGGTGCGTATTCGTATATTACTAAGTTATTTTTTATGATTTCACCTTTTTGCACCATTTCTTTAAGAAATTTAAAAGGTCTTTAATATTTGAAAACAAATACATTTACCAGAGAAAATATTTATTTAAACGGATTATTTTGATAAAGAAAATAAGTCACGAGTGACCCCTATAATTTTTTACATTCAACACGCGATCGTGGCGTTTAGTAGGTATAAGCTATTACTCCAATTATGATGTCAAACCCCGATAAGACAAATTGTATAAAACTCTATTAAAACTAGATAATAATTATAGTGGAAAAAGTTATAGTGCTCACGCCCAACCCGCGAACACAAAACTGATTTATAACACGCGTTATGGGCAGTAGGACTTGTTCTTCGCGAAGGGTTCTAATATCTAAAACAAATTCTATTCAATATTTAGATTTTTACTATTATACAATATGTAATAATCGGTTCAAAGAAATACTTTTAAATATTTATGCATACTCTTCGGTCATCATATCATAGCTGAAAAAATTAACTTACCTATTAGGTAGTGTGATTATTAAAATTATAAATAATAAATTCTTGCATTATAATGTCTATTGTTCACAGTGCTAGAGTATTAATATTAAACATTGAATATTTTTGTAGTTAGAGAGGAAAATCGAAACTTTGTCTGTGCAATCTCTCTGATGCTTCTATAGGGATATATAAAGAAAATATAAAAAATGGCACTTGTGTATAGCTGTTGCTTCTGGTTTTCTCTACGATTGGGAGGCTTATTGATTTCCTTTTTATCAATTGTAAGTAATAATTGTCTGTGGTTATCAACTTTTATTTATATTGGTGTAGATGTTAATGTTTATTTTTCTTAATATTTCCAGTTGCAAGCTGTTTTATTTTTGATAATATTTAGCCTCTTCTCCGTACAAGATTATGAACAGAAATGTGATAAATTAAAACTATTGGATGATATCAATCTTATTTATATGAAGTCTTTTATTACAGGCATTATAGAAGGCAAGTTTACTTACTATTTTTAACTCAAAAAGTAAATCGTAAAAAAAAATTTTTTTGTAAATTTTTTTTTAGATTCTAATTATGACACTTACATTAAAACGATACTCTGTTTGTATATTATGGCATGTGTTATATATATCTATGGAGCATTTAAGGTAAGTGGTAAATAACAGAAAAAAAACTAACCGATTTTAAAACCTGTTAACTATGAAAAAATAATACCGATGCAATTCCAAAAATCCATTTATTTCGGAATTTCTTTTATTCTTAAAGGCCGGCAACGCACTCGCAAGCTCTCTGGCATTGAGAGTGTTCATGGGCGGCGGTATTCCTTAACATCAGGTAAGCTTCTTGCGCGTTTGTCCCGTTCTATAAAATAAAAAAAGGGTGCGTGTACTTATGTACGCGCGTAAGATGTTATACTTCTTTGACATTATTAAAAATAGTTTTTGATTGCATGCAAATAATCAATAAAGTTCAGTTTTCATTTGAAAAATTAAATAAATATTTATTATTATTCTCTTACATTAAGTGTAACATAAATTCTATTATTATTCGAATATTATTTTTAAATTATATCCAATGCCGTAGCATCTTCCGTGGGCAACTTCATACTGATAATTTTGTGTCACGGTGCGCGCGCATCGTAAAATTTCACTCTCATCAATTTTTCATAACGCGCCTAAAGAAGTATAACTTCAAAAAAAACGACGGGTTGCACTCCGGGAGTGCCGGGAAAAGTGAAAACTTGAATATTAACGTTGTGCATTTTTGATATTTTGGAATGGTTACGGAATAATTTTGCACGAATTGCTTTAATTATCAGTATAAAAGTACTATTATTTATGTGGTAGAATATAATATTTATTTATTGCGCTATCGTACACAAACATGACATTTATACGCCATATTATTACATTAAATACGCCGCGCCAGCTGTCTACTCTCCATACGTCTTACGAATTTTGGATCAGGTCACGTGTCCTGACGCGAGTTTAAATTTTTTTACCCATTCCAAAAAAAGTGTACAACGCCGCTAAAGAAGTTTTCACTTCAAAAATGTCCCCTTCAAAAAAGCATGGATCCATGTCGGCTAATCTTAGTTACGAGAAATTTGTGGACAAGCATACACATAAACCTGATAGCCTCCTTTCATAAAAAGGGCATTGTATAGCAAGATTTTACACAGTTACTATAAAAACGCAGAATTTTGTTTACAGCTTGTAAATATCCTCATGTTTCCGTATATTCTTTTGGAGTTACTGCGCCTAATAGGATTATCATTTTTTGGAATAACAGGATTGCTAGTACTCAAGAAAAATACCATGGATATTGGTCTTCTTATTGGGATAAGTTTGGTAGTAGGATTCACACTGTGTAAGTACCTCAACCTGCTCATTTGTTACTTCCTTACCTACCTACCTCTTGCCCCCCCTGAATAGCTTGTTATTTAACGTCGTAACGTAATTATTTAATGATTATAATTTGATAGCGGTTTAGGTACTTAATTCAATTCCAGATCTGCTTCGATATATTATAACTATATCTACTTCTATTAAAAGTAGCTCTTTCGCTAATGATAATAAGAAAAACGTTACGTACTTAATAAATTTTGCATAATACTTGTACTTTCTCATAGTTTCTTGATTAAATATTATTGTAGTGTAGTATTATATTTTCAAGTGCCTATCATTAGCATTGTTTTTTATAGTGGGAATGTTCTACCTGTGGATATGTGCGATGAATTTGCCAATTGTTATAAACGAGATAAAAGCTAATGAACAAGCGGCGTTACTTGGTACATTTAAAAATAAAGTGGGAAAACACACTGATCGTAATAATTTGCTTTTTAGCGAGTCTCGTAATCTTGGTGCTAGCCACATATTTATGCAAACGACACGACAAAATAGATTTTCGACGTCTGACGAACCACCAAGATATTATTATTAAATAGTTGATTTAATAATGCCTTTTGTTATTAGGTTTAAAGACATTTATTCTCATAACAGACAATAGTCACTTACATGAGAACTTATATACTAAAGATACAATTTATCACGGCGTGGGTCATTATAAATATAAAGTTGAACTTGGGTGGACTTTCATTTACGTAGATAACTGGGATCACTCAAGAGATGGTATTTTAGTCTTAAATTAAATATTGCCATTTGCCAGGCTGTCTGCACTTTTTATATTTCGTGGAAGTCTATTATACCGCAGCATTCCCCCAACGCTCAATGTTTTTTTTAACGTAATTGGTTCTAAACTTAGGTAGAATTAGTTTGTGAGGGCGTCGTAACTGCGCTTCTGAATTTGATTTATTTTAGTGAAATTTCACTTATTAATAAAGAATTATTAGGATTAAGTCGTTATTGTTCATTTAACAAAATTACTTGTTGTTTAATTTTTTCCTGCTATTTAATATTCTATAATTAGTTTTCAGACTTGGAATGAGAGTATACATTTTTGACGTACGGGAGTCAGGCTTAGCTCTTAGTCTCGTTTCTAAATCCACCCTTGCAGTCCTTATTATATATAATATAACTGATAGCTACTGATAAAAGACTGAGTTGAGTTAAGACTTGATAAAAGTATGAGGACAGGGGCTTGAGACAAAATCATTTTACGATAGACGTGACACAGAATGACATTAGCTTCCGCTTTATCAGGTGAACATTTTCATACAAATCGTCGTTAGGCGTTACTGGGTCACGACTATGCTGTGGCTATCTCGATTCTTATAACACAAATTGAATAATATATCATATGACAGATCATCAATTGAATGGTATCTGTCATAGGGATGTGACATTCTGCATAAAAAATCGATTTTTTATTAATCGATTATATTTTTAGCATGAAAAATCGATTAATAAATAATCGATTTTGCTAAAAAAAAATAATCGATTTTTTTATTAATCGATTTTTTCCTAATTTTTGAATTAATTTCAAAATAAACACCCTAAATATTTTATTTTTCATGTTTTTTTTAAATTAAAAATAAACAATAGAAATTATAAACACAAATTAACGTTTAAGAATAATCAAAATCGAAATTAACTTAATCTCGTTTTGATATTTTTTTCATAATAATTATAGCATTGGTATTATTCATAATTGGGAATATCTTAAGGCTTTATCTATGACACATTTATGGTGCGTTCCAGTCTAAGCTTGCTCACGACGATCAAAATGCTTTCCTTTAGCCATTCCACATACCGACCGCGGTCGTTGTGGTCACGGCGAAAACGTCACTCATGACGTCATGACAAATGCTCATGTCTTGACGCTCACAAACGACCCATCTAAAGAGGTGGGTCGTTGTGTGGGGAGAACGTTGAGAATAATTTGGCGCAATTTTTGAAATATGACAAATACTGGGAACCGTGGCCTAAAAAACCCCCCGGGGGGGGGGGGGGGGGGGGGGGGGTTGGTTTGTGTTTTTTTTTTTTTTTTTTTTTTTTTTTTTTCCCCCCTTTTTCCCCTTCCCCTCTCTAGTGGGGTGGAGTTTGTGTTGGGGGGGAAAAGATAATATTATTATATTCAAAGCTTAAAGATGGCGACAAGAAAAATCACATTATTTGATTCAGAAAGAGAAATTGTAAAGCCATTTCGATTATATTTAAACTTAAGTTGTTTGATAACTTCACCAAAATTATTTATAAAATATTCAATTATTCTTCACTTTTAACATAAATAAATTTAAGTCACAAATATCAAAACTTATTGTTTATGATTACCTAACCTCCTTAAAATTCTACTATTTTCAAACTTGACATTTGTAATATTTACATGAACGCCCGAAACGCTCCATAATCCATTCCACTTGAGTTAACGACAGTAACATTCACAATCAAGTGGAATGGGGAAATCAGCGGTCGTGAGCGTGATCGTCGTGAGCGCTTAGTGGAACGCACCATTAATAGTCCTCCTAGTCTAGGCTTGCTGAAGCTGATAAACAAATGTCATAAAAGTTAAAACTTAAAAACAAATTAAGTAATTTATCTATTCTGTTTATTACTGTATTAAAGTTTGAACCAATAGAAGAATGTTTACAATTGATTGCGAATTACAATTTACTTGAGTATTGAGTAATTTAAATATTTCCTTTGAAGTGTAAAGTGTAATAACATTTTTACAAAAAAAAATCTTTATGAAGAAAAATTGAAAATTAAAACATAAATATGCCGACAAGTTATCCCTGGTAAGAAACCTTTTTTCGTTCGCTATTTGCAATACATACATTATAAATTAAAGAAATAAAGTATTATGTTACTTACTCGAATTATTTTTCAGGACTTCAGCCAAGAAATGTAGACGAAAAAATAATGTTGCTAGTTTAGAAGTAAGCACCCATCCTCTCAAAATGGACAACATGAGAATTGTATGTACACTATAAATTTTAATTATATTATTCTAATAATATCTCTGCTTTTTGCTGTCTATAATGTATAATTTGTTTTTGCAGACACCAAGTTTAAATAAGGCTTTAATGGAAAGTCTACAGAACTGGAGTATGCCTTTTGAAGAATTGGATCCTTTGCTACGTTTTGAAAAGATGAATTTAGCAGAGGCAAGTTTGAATACTACTGTAGTTTTCCTTTAATTTAAATGATATTTTAAAAACTTATATATACTATTTCAGGAATCATTGCCTTTAGATATATGTGAGGATGAAAAGGAAAATTACTTGAAAGTATGGAATTGTAAAAAGACATCTATTCTAAATAAATATACGACAGGTGAAAAGCTTACGATCATAAGCAGTTTTTTACCTGGTGGAGAAAAGAGTATGTTTATCAATAATTGTGCAATATTTTGAAATTAATTGTTCTTTGATACTTTTAATAACATATATTTCTTTCCTTTTCTTTTTTGTTATGTTCAGTTAGTACTTTTTCAGCATTAATTAGACAAGTGTCCAATCTTAATGAAAAAGTAAAGCATAGATTAGAACAACTTGATGATTTTGATGAAGCTTCAGTTAGAAAGACTATGGGACTCTCACAACAAGAGTTTGTAACGAAAGTACATATGTTGGATGAGGAGATTAAAAAGGTGAGTTGCAATATTTCATCAAATATATAATTACTGTTTTTGATATGATGTACTTAGACAAATGATTTATTATGAGAATGAGTTAGTCAATTACTATTTTATTTAATTACAGGCATGGGATTCAGAGCAAAGGGTAAATGCATTCAAAATTGCAATACAATGCTCAAAATTACTCTCAGACATCAGCGTAATGCAATTTTATCCAAGCAAGTTTATTCTCATCAGTGATGTTTTAGATAACTTTGGAAGTTTAGTATTTGATCGTCTTAAGAATAAAAGCTTTGGGTTTGTACCTTTTACTAGAAAACATATAAAATGATATTTACATATGCTACTTATCAAATTTTTTAGTTCATACACAGTTCAACTATCACTTACAATTACAATTTTCATTCATACAGTTTCCATGGAATAACAGATAAATGCTTATTAATGAATGGCAATATGTCATTTAAATTGAACATAAACTATTATTATTCTTATATAACATATACATAAGTACTGGACAGGACTGGAAGTATGGACATAAACCTATTTTGCAAATGTGGAAACCTATGATATTTACTTAAATCTGGCTTATCTAAAATTGTATTTTCAGAAACAAAAATATCAAATTTCAATACATTGATCCAAATACAGTTCTAGAAATAGCTAAAGAAACATGTCAAAATTGGTTGTTTAAAATGGCATCTATTAGAGAACTGTTGCCTCGGCTCTATATGGAAATAGCTCTTTTACAGTGTAATGTATTCATATCTAGAGAAGAAATGAAACCAACAATAAATCGACTGACGAAAATGATCAGAGGAATGGGAAATCCCCTTGTAGCAATATACATTAGAGTTTATTTATGTAATACCTCTTCAAAGTTATTTAGCAAAGAAAGTGAACCATATTATAAAGACAATTTAAGTGAGTTCATTAACGAATACCAGCAGGTGAGTAATATTTTTATAATAATTTTTATTTTATTGTAATAGGTGCTTGTGTTCACCGCTATTTTCAAACTTAATTACTGTTGTTGTATATGGCTCTTAATGAGACGCAGACAGAAAAACAATTTCAGTTTTGATTAATATATTGGTAATTTACAGTTCTCTCTTATTATTTATTTTGCATTTGATTGTTAACTTTTAAACAAGGCTTTTATATAACATTGAGAAACAGATATTTCGGATTATATTTGAGTTACTTATATAGAGATTATGGAGCAAACAAAAAACTTGATGAATTAATATCATTCGTAGCTACGATAAAAATTTAGGGAATCTCTGAGAGAAAAATTCAAGGAAATTTATATATTTACCTTTCCCTCGCAATATATTTATGAGAATATTATGTATGTATACAAAAAAAGTGATAAGATTACTAGAATAGAACATACGCATAATGTTAATACTCGGAACAAACGCAGGCTGCAATGTCCCCGTACTAGACTATCTAAATTTAGTAATTATTTTTTGGGAATTATTTTTTATCTCTGCCTTTTAATAAATTTTTAAAATGTATTAAAGAAGCTGTTTAAAAAGACTTAGGTACTATCCGTGGCGTGGGTGGCACCCGGTGCGGAAGTTGGTGGTGTCACCCCATCGAAAGTAAAAAGCAATAAATTTTATATGATAAAGGACATGGATCATTTATTATTTGTCTTTGTTGTATTTGTATCATGTGTCACCCCAAAAAAGGTGACACCCGGTGCGGACCTCCCAACTGCTTACTATAAAGTTAACGATTATCTAGATGATAAAGTGGCCTGGGACTAGTGCATAGTACATTTGCGATATTTGTTTTAAAATAAGTGTTGTTTGCCATAGTCATTTTGTATGATGATTTTCTATTTTAAAAGAGTACCGAGAGTTTTTTACGCCGGCTTTTTCACTCGGCCTACACCCTCTGTCTTCTTTGCCGATAAGTAGGGATGTCTACCGATTCAAATTAAATGCCGTGGAATAAATGATACCTGTATCTTATATTCCATTATAAACATATTTTATTTTAATGTAATCTTGTAATTCTTTTAGATCTTCCACCCTACAATGTTAAAAAAATATGGCGCGCAGCTTCTAACCGCTGATCAGTACTTGAATCTATATGTACCTGCTGTAGATTGGCTACTGTTTGGTACTCTCAATTGGAATCATGATAAATTAAATCTACTTGAGGAATTGTTAAAAAAATGTAATGAAATTGAGAACAGGTAATTAACAAAAGATGGCAGCCTATCAGCGCAAAAGTACATAAGTCACAATATAACTGCGCCTTAATTTAAATAAGTTGTTTTTGTGTGACATTATCTGTCACTGATGCAAAAATAGACACAGATAAGAAATAAAATTATTATTCTGCCATCAAAGTATTATAAATACCTTGGTCTTCTCAAATATATGCTATGGTCGATTAACTTTCTCATTAATTTTTTAATAATAAATCTAAATAGCATATCAAATAATGCTTATATTTTGAATTAAAAAAAGGTTGTAATAAGCTTGTGAACAATTTTAGTGAGCTGCTCCTGTGTTGCATAATCTCTGCATTTGATTCGTCCAGTGTTATACAGAAATCTTCAGCAATTTTGGATATCATACGCAAGAATGCTGATGGAATGGGTATGTAATGTTCATTGAGCGATTTATAGAAATATTAAAATAAAGTATAAACAAATAATAAATATTACTACTGTTTATTGCCAAGTTTGACCGTTATTGGTTTTTTAATAAAAATGTTGCTAGTTTAAATTTAGAAGATTATTTAACATGGCAACATAGTATATATGTAGTTATAAAATATACTCGTAGTAATGATGCACCAAGCATTATCTTCGCTGGGAGAACACCTATGCCACGCTGAGAGCTATCGACAGGTCTCAGCTGAAGTATTGAGTCAAACATGGTGGAAATTAGCCAGTGGTATGAAGAGCACGGCTAACTTCTTACAAGTGCTGGAACCGTGGATTCAATTTGCTTGTCTTCAATTATCTGTGAGTGACTGATATCTGTTATATAAAATACGTCATATCATATACAAAACAAATGTTTTCTTTAAAAAAAATTTTTCGACGTGTAATAAAAAATTTACTCTTGTTATATTTAAAACTCCTAATTTACATCGATAAAGATTGTATGTTTATCTCTCCTCTGTAAATATAATTAATTGTGATGGAACTTTGTGTTGAAATAGGCTGCGTTGTTCTTTAAAAAAATCTTGAAAAAAGTAGTAAACAAAAATTTTAAATCATGTTGCAAAAACTAATTACATTTACTGTGGTTTACGCCCGTACTACACATCTATATAAAAAACTCATAAATACTTAGCAAATATACTAAATTATAATTATATTAAGCTGTTTACATTAATCGACGTCGAGGGCTCTGCAGCAATCGTAGTATTAGTAATTAGTTAATTAAAAATGGTATTCTTCCTTCTATTTATTATTTATTCTTTCTACAGAGTCAACATATTAACGTGATTCTTCGTGGGACGATTCGCTATTTAATCAAGAGTGGTCATCCGCCGGATAACTATTCCGCGCAGATACAGAATGTTATCAAAAGAATACTCAAGCATATTCCAGATGTTGAGGAATTATTTTTAATGGTAATTTATACTTAACTCTATCTTGTGGCTTCGAAGATTATTTATAAGAATTTTCATCTAAGTTATAAACATGTTTTTAACGTAAACGAAAATTCAAAGCTAAACAAAACAACATTTTACCTTTTTTAATTTCAATTATAGAAAAATAACACCAAAGCATGCGTTTATTTATAAGATTATATTAATACTTATTAAAACTCTAAAAACAGTTTTCGGTTTAAAAAAACATTAAATATGCCGAAATAAATATTTAAATTTCGAATTGAACTATTAAATCGATTTGAATAAGAGCTGAATAACCGCTCAAAACTCCTGTAATCTCCTGGAAAATATTGTCTTATAAATAGTTTTATAAACTAAAAATATAAATGAATATAAACGCTTTAAAATGTATTATTTATATTGTCGATTTCGACGTTTCGAGTGCTTCTCAGCAATCGAAGGCGAGATATTGTATATATCGTCATAGCCGTAGAATAGCGACGGATCTGACAAATAGTAAACTTTACAGGGCAGCCTTTTCAAAATAATATAATCATGTTAGTTTTTGTCATAACTATTTTAATTCATATTCTGGTATTATGAAAATTGGCATACAAGCAAACAAAAGGTTTTGTTTTCAAACAAAATAAAAATAATAACATTAATTTACACATTTCTCTAGAAAAATCACATGTTTATATCAAATCCGTCACTTTACCGACTGATTAATTTAAAACACATGGATTTTTTTTAATGTAGCCGTAATATTTAGTCAATGTAGTATCCAAATATGATAAAAACGCGGATTTTGGATTTTTTCAAATCCGACATTGTTCTACGATCATGACGATATATTCGCAAAGTTTTATTAAAATATGCCAAAAATATTTTAGGACGCCTTTATGCCGTTGGTAGAGCTGGTCCAGACCTCAGCAGCTCGCACGTCAATGGCTCGGACAGTACTCACAGTGTTCTTTGAGAGAAACAAGTCTGAACGCATAGATGACCCCATAGTCATCGCTAGCCTTATGAGGCTTTGCCGCATTGTGCACGATTCTATTAAGTAAACAATTTTATTTTTAAATTTCGGTACTTGGGTGTGCGTATAACAGAAATTAAAAATTATTTAGTCTAAAACTTTTAACACGACATATTTTTTTGCGAATTGTAATTACGTCTCTATTGTTCAGTTATATTTCTAAAAATTAATGGGTTTCTTCCCTTCAGTTTTGTGTCGTTAGAGAAAACTTAGTGTGATAGGACGTTGCCTAAAGTGGCTGACCAACAAAATATAAAATATACGGAGTAAATTTTATATTTATTAAAATCTAGTATACAACAATTTAATTCATTCAAATAAAAATATATTATTTACCGTTCGTAATGTAATTTAACTAATTTAATAGATGTGTCCAACTTTTGTAATTTCCGTTTTAAGGGTAAATTTGATTGAATAATTTTTTTTAGTAAAATGAGCACCACATAATTAATTTGTGCTTTCTTAGTGCTGTGAGTGTAGAAGACGAGAGCAAGTGGAGTGGGGAATTAATAGTCAGATGCATCCAAGTCGCGAGACATGAGGATCTTGACACGCAACTCAATTTCTATGTGGAGTGCCGAGCTGCCTTTCTCAAGTTGGATGCTGTACTTGTCGCATTGGTGCATGTAAGTATTCATTTTATATTCTAGACATTTCTGTGTGATTAATTTTAATAGAGATTTAACATTCGCCAGTCATTTGCTTGATAAAAAAGAGAACAATGAAATTATGATTTACCAAAGTACCAAAGAAGAAACCTTACGAAGTCTTAAAAATACAATTAGAATTTGAGAAAAATAATAAAGTTTGTGTTATACGCTATAGGATAAAAACACACGGAATTATTAGTTTTACACAGTTATTTTAAAAAATGTGTATATATGTGTTTATGTTTGAAAAATATCGATAAATCTGTATTTATATAATAAACTAGCAGACTCGGCCAAGCGTTGCAGTGGCTAAGTTTTTTGTTATATTACATAGTAGCAAACTATTCAAGGGAAACGGTAGGAGAACACCAGTCATGGGGACCACCATGCTTTTTTGGTGAAAATGCCATTAAATTATAGCTTATGTGAAACGTTGGTACTTTCAACACAGCGCCATCTGTTAGAATTGTGTCAAATAATTTGCAATAAAATAATATTGCAGCTATAAATTAAGATGCAAGCTATCCTATCTTTTATGTTGGATGAAACTGCACACGGTGTGCAAATTTAATTTCAAATCGGTTAAGTAGTTTAAGAGTCCATCGCGGACAAACAACGTGACACGTGATTTATATATATTAAGATAATTTATTTGCGCTACAAGCCTATGTGGGTTGCATCTGTTTCAGTAATAATTTTCTCTTACGGACTACCAGTAAGTAATCTGCTGTGCCTGACACTATACGAGTATGTCGTCGATTTTTGGGTTCAAGACTGGCCGATTTCCTCACGATGTTTTCCTTTGAACTTGAAATCACGACTTCAGAGTTAAAATTACGCTTAAGCCACTTATGTCTGAGCATGAACCACCCATGCCTCCTCTATATACGTCTCTAGGCTAATGATAAAATACTGTGATAAGGCGGTGAACACACTATCGACCCGCGGTGCGGCTTCCCGCGGCAGATGGCTGCAGCGCGCGTGCGCAGCCTATTGTTACATCACGGTGCCGTCTCTGCAATGCGTGTTATCCCGGGCTACGCTTTACCTTCTCTCAGGACAGGTTGCCCTGCTTAATAACTGCATTGGACAAGGTATATTTGGGTTATTCCTTAGGAACTAGAATTCAAAAGTCGACACACGCGCTTGTAAAGTATTGTGGTTATGTACATTTTTATTTACTATGAAGTTACCTGTTCTATAAAATAAATAAGTTTCGCTTAAGCTCCCTAGTACCTCTAGAGATCTCGTCCCACGTTTTAATTTTATGGATAATTTTCCCTTAATAGGATTTTTTCCCCCTATATTCTACTGCCATAATGTATTCTAATAAACAGTTATAATCTAACATAAAATACTAATTAATGGCTTTTACCTAGTAGCAGTTTGGATTAAGTGATTATTCTTCCTTCACACAAACTCACAAATCACATAACAACTCTTAGCAACACTCAAATACATGCGCAAACACATCCAGATTCTTAATGTTTTATAAAACTCGTGTTTGATTAGTTGTAACACTAAACCTACTTTTTCTCAAAAAACTGTTTTAAAGATGCACCATTTACCACTGACTAATCGTTATATAGCACCATTTACCACTGACTAATCGTTATATAGTTACACACAACACAGGGACTCCCTGGTGTAGGGACTAGCGATATATGAATTTTGTCACAACCTATTTGGCGTAAATAAAGTATTCATTTATTATATTCCATCAGGAATTGAACCTAGTAATTAACGGTTCGGGTTTAGAATATTACAATAATTACATTATTTATTCATTAAAAAGATTTTTGGACCTTGTGTAGTACAGCTGAGCTTTTGCTAACTTTGGATTAATGTATTTAATGTATATTTAATAGATTAGTCGTCAATGTACCTAGAGGTCTTGAGTTTCATAACCTTTCAAACAATTTTAATAAAACTTTATTTACAGCTGAAGCGAACTTCAAAGCACTGGTTGGAGTAATACCAAACATACCGCAATACGTTCAAGAAGATGGCCAGAAGAAACCTACTCATGATAGAGTGGCTGGTCTTATCAGTAATTTCTTATCAACGCTTCTCGTACTGCCGGTAAATTACAAGCTTATTACTGATTAACTCTCTTTAAAAGAGGAGAGCCTTATTTATAAGGCACACTTCCAATACACATAGACAGATTAAAAATGTACACGAGTAAACACAACAGGCATGTCTTATAACTATGTAACATAATATACAGAAGGTCATTACTAAAACAGTTAATTTAAAAAAATACGCAAAACGAGTATTTTTATCGCAAAACGCTTGCACGATTTTTTTAAATTCCGAAACTTTCCGATAAAAAGCTAAAAGTTTTGCACACTATAACTAATTATTTTTGCTAAAGTTATGTAACAATGTGCGTTATGTACGTAAATGCATAAAGTTTGTTTATGTTTATCTGTCTTAAAGTTACTTCCAAAGTTTAAAGTTAACTTTTGGGGAGTTTTTATTCATTGATCCGCATTTACAAAATTTTGCCTTTGATTTTTTATTATTAATTATGGGTTTGACTTATATCTGCGTTTGTTTCATGAATCACAATTCAGATACTTAAATAGATCAATCTTCTGTGCAAACTTTAAACCTTTATTGGTTAAAAGCAGGCAAACATAAACAGTAGATACAAGAATTTTCTAAACAAAATCTTTGTTGCCAAAAACAAACACCAATTGGCATGATATCTACACGTAGAGTGATTTATAATCATTTTTAAATTTAGATTTTATTCAAGTACATGTTTTAAATTTAAAAACAAGGAACGAGTACAGCAATAAAAACATTATTTTTAACGTAAGGAATTGTTTACAAATTTAAAACAATATAAAAGTTTAATGTTTCTTAACTCTAGTTTTGTCAGTCTGTATGTACTTTCACTGCTAGAAGCAGACCAGAAGAAAATTCCATTGGTCTCTGTTTATCTTAGCCGGGATTTGAACGCGCTACGACGGATTTAGAGTCGCTACGTACTTTTACAGCCCGTTCCCACTAGTCGAAAGTCGCATAAGACTAAAAGTCGAATGCTCTGGTCACCATACACTTTGTATGGAGCTGTTCACATTAGATGAGACGCGACTTTTAGTCGAATACGACTCAAAAACCCCTCCGACGGGCCAGCGCCCGTCTTAAGACTAAAAGTCGCGTCGAATCATGCTCGCATAGGTGCCTGCTTTGTTGCTGTTCACACTAGTCGTGCGTCTTTACGACTCGAGCGCGTTGGTTACCCTCCCTCCCGCCCCGCTTCCTAGACACACATTCCCTACATCACTGCTCACTCCATTCGTGTTTTTTTGTTTGACTTCCCAAAGTCGATCTTTCTGTTAGGATTGGGGGTGCATCCAGTATTTTCTTGGAGATTGAAATTTTTTTTAACTTTTTTAATTTTCTTCGTAAGTAGTAGAGGACAACAAGTTCTTCGTCGGCGTCCATGTCGCGAATTCGCTACGTACCGAATGGCGCGAAACTACGATCTATACGACTCGCGACGCAGTGGGGTGAACAGGGACATCAGACTTTCGACTTTTAGTCTTATGCGACTTACGACTAGTGGGAACGGGCTTTTACTGGTTATTTTAAATGCTTATGTATAGCGATTTATATAATTTTAGGATAATGTAGACAGTAACAGCAAGGCGTATATATTAAGCGGTTTCATTAAAACCCTGGAGAGGGTTGAATGGCGGAAAACAGACGCCTTATATTACACGACACTTTTACGAGTACTGGACTTGCTTTGCGAGATGACACAAGAACAATACGCGTATCACATAGATTCAGGTTAAAATAACTTTTGTGTTTTGTTTCTATTAATTTATTATATAATATGTTCAAGGTAGTTGCCAGATTTCTCATATCTATCCTATGGATTTTTCTAGATTAAAAAGCAAACTATGTCAGGTAATAATGTGTTTTGGTGTGAAAGTAACATGTTTATAATTTAGCTTCCTATTTTGAATACAATCATTTTTGTTTTTTTTGAGGTTTTTGGTTTTACAGTATATATTTATAAGTATATACATAACTTAAAATAATTAAAATTCTATTAATATTTTTTAATTAAATGACATTTCATTAAGTTGATGATTTTTGTAGTAATATCCAACGACGAACTGTATGGCGCTGAAGAAGAATTCGTAAAGTGTTTAGAAAATTATGCAACAAATGTTTGCCAGGAGTTGCTAGTGGTTTTAAAGGCGCTGTCAGACGCAAAAGAAACTAAGAAACAATATAGTTTATCTCTCGAGTTATTTTGGAGGATTATAAAAAGAGGAGATTTGCAGCAGTCGTCTATGTCCGGTTTGGCTTCTAATTTGTGGATGTTGTCGCAGAAACTTCAAGATTCTAATGCAAAGTATGCGGTAAGTTTTTTTGGTCACCAAGTCCCGAGTTTGTTTACTAATTATAAGTTAGTCATTTCGAGAGTTAATTCTAAAAGGTTTCAGATATCATGTGTAAATAAAGTATACTGGTTTTAGTATTTGGTTATAGGAAGTGAATAGAAAATAAAAACAAATTTAACCAATTACAATAATTTCTAATTTTATTACTATCAATAGGTAAATTATTCTAAACACAAAACGCTTTTCTTTACTGGCCAATTTGACAGTTTCAAAGTTTGTTTACGACTGATAACACACGATAGGTGACGTGGTGCGTTTAGTAACTGAGACCAAAATTTCCTACAGGCAATGTAATCTCAGAATAATGGCACACAATGTAATTAACAATTACAAAGGCGAGACGGCTGTTTATGACCTCAGGTGTCTTTCTTAGAAATTTCGGCATCTCAAAAGTTTAGTTTTGTAAGCTGATTATAAAAACCATTACACTTAAGTATGTTGTTGATGTCTAAATATGAAAATATTTTTTTATTCGTTACATAGATGGGTGTTGCGTTATAAAAAGTGAATTGATGTATGGGTTTTGTGTTAAACCAAACAAATTAAATTATTTTGTTACGTTATAGAGAGTATTTCGTTTTAACGAATAACGTTATAAATAATTTACTCCATATTATTAAAATATAACCTTACCTTTGTCCTACAGATATTTAATATCTATATTATAGCTACGACGCACCATTATGTCGTCCAACGACAGCCGTAAACCGCCATATCTTATGTCTTAAATTGAGATTTATTTCCACGCATTTTGTTTGAAATTTTAATAGAATAGGAAGCTACTAGTTCCTTGTCGGCACCCTACGCCATTAATATGAGGCAGGGCCTAATTCTTAGAGTTTTATAATCACACTTATGTAATACAGGTTCATTATTACTATGATTTTCATAAATTGCAATCGCTATCAAGGTGTTTTTTTAATGCAGACAATTTAAAGTCGCGTCTAGCTTTGACACAATGTTGGCGTTACGAAGAATGGGAGCATCTATTTCCACATAAAAATTTTACATATAAAAATACATAATGCTTTTGCACACGAATATCTCGAGAAATTATTACGTATGTAATAAATCGCTGACATCCTATTTACTATTATAATTAACGAAAAAGTTAGCATGTTTTATATTTATAGTTTAAGTTCTGCGTTACGTGGCAATGTCTTGCTGTTTCCAGATGTTTCCTGTATTAATATTGCAGCTAATAAACGTTTATATTGTTTATATTTAAGACCTTGGATCTGCAAAATTATGAAGTGCCTTATAAAAATTATCAAATTATACGGTAAAGTGTCTGCTGCTATTGTTTAGTAGTTTTAGCTAGTACTATCCGCCTCCCATGGATATCTGCAACGACACAGGGTTCCGACCATTGAGAGAATGGTACGCTCTTTTATTGAAGGCCCCTAAGCAGCTGGTTTTACATGGCGTGGTGGTGCGCAACAAGTGCCTCAAAACTTTAACATTCCACCACGACATTTCTTCAGAGCTATAGGAATAAAGATTACGGGGATTCATATAAACAGACACACCTTACAATGCAGTAGGGTACTTAAATTGTAACATATTCGTAATAAATACATTTCTCTGTAACATACGAGATAAGCCTACATTTAAAAACAAAGTCGATCTTACAACGGTGTTTGTAAATCAATTATTAATTCGTCTATTTCTGCCAGATGATATATTTTATGTTGTATTCATTACATACATACCTTAGATAAAGGTGTAATAGGTTCAAGATTATACAGAACGGATTAAAATGCATTAATTTACAGGTCAATCAAATAACCTAAAACTTATGTAACGTATTTTCTTTAAGATATCGGTGTTGCGAAATCGGATTCTGTAACAACTAATTATTGAGGCAATACTTTTACACCGTGGATACCACAATCACTGAGAAACAATATAAATAAAGTTTAAGTCTAGAACCGGCTAAATTTAAAAACACTCACTTACACACAAATATGTCTAGCTCAAACTTGTTTAACAGTTATTTTAAGAGTTTCCTACTTTGAGGTATTTCGTTAACACATTGATTTCGCTAATAAATTTGGTTTCGCCACGTTGAGAATGCAGATTATATATAGGTCAGCGAGACAATGGGTAAATAACTATAAATAAATAACTAGTCTTTATATATTTGAGTTTTAACCCACTGTTACGAATTATATGAATAACAGCAGAATAATAAGTAGCGAACATTATCTGGTTAAGCATTTCAAATCATTGTTAATAACCATTTCACCGGTTTCACAGCCACTAAAAAGCCACTTTCGCTAATTAGATTTTATTGGCAATAAAATAAAACGCGATTAATTAATAATCAATAAACAAAAATGCTACCAATACGGAGTAAAAAATAATGTATTACATTTATTTCTTTCAGAAATCAATATTGGCTGTACTACAAGCCGACCCAGCTGGGCGACAATTACTAGAGAAATTGAAAGTCCAGTGATAATGTGGTCACATTCCAATGAACTTGAAGAAAAACGATTGAAACATTTAGACAATTAATCCATGCGATCTGTATTTAAAAAATTTAAAAATAACGCAATAAAATGTATTAATATTAAAAGATTGTGTTTTTTACAAAATCATCGGTGATAATAATAATTAGTCGTGACCATAGTTGATATCTCTCACAAAACTTTCTGTAAAATAACAGAGATAAAGGAAAGTTATGTTTATGAGGAAAGGGACGTAAAAAAAAGTATCCGCTGAAGTACTAATTGTCTGAAACTGTCATTCCGGTAGAAATCATAAGTATTTCCAAGTCAATTTTTTTTAATTTGTCGCAGGCTTCGGTTCTGGACCTGTTGTCTGCTAATTGTAAGTTTCGTGCAGTTAAGAATTCTCAAACTGATTAACCCTTATTTAGAGAGATTACTGACAAGGATGGAGGTACTCGCACGCCTTCTTATTGCAGATGTTGACCCCAACAGCGGCGGATGGAGTAAGCGGACATTGTCCGACGAGACACGCTTGAGTGGTGCCCACGCTGTTGCACCGGTCTTTCACCTTCGCAATAATAACGCCTATAAAACCTTGTCATTGTAATAATATGACGCTACTTTTATCTCAACTCAAAACAGATATACAACTCGATATAGCAGGAAGTTAATTCTATAGCGATTTTTTTGGGTTTTTACCCATTTTAAAATGTTGGCCTTAAAATGTTTGGTACGGTATTTTAATTTTTTGTAATTGTTCTGCGAGAAATATCTCAATTTTAATACTTTTAACACTTTTACAGTTTATTCTAATAATTACATGCGGAGAAGTATTCTCGAATAATGAAGAACACACTGGATTCGATCAGTCATTGGGTACCGAGAGCATTTTCGAGGATGTGAAATCTGGTTAGTAAATTTATTTAAGTACATATATGCTGACGTTCGATAGTTAAATGATTCTATTTCTAAACTCAAACCCATTTCGATTACAGGTAAAATATCTCTTTCATCCAATCCCGTGGCTACTGCAATGCTAGAAGTTGATAAAAATCTATACCCTCAGTTCTTTGATACTATAGTCAGTAGTTCTATCGATTCTATTCAAAGAGAAGTGGCTCCCAAAAATATATTCGCTGCAGAAAATTTTGGTTTCAATCCCATTGCAAGTCAGGGTTTTACTCATCAGTCTCTTCGTCGTGAGGAATCGGACCTGACATCACAACCTCTTGATTTATTGCGTAATGCACGCCCACTTAAATATAATATCCGGACAGTTCATGATCCCAATTATCGCGTATTTAAACCTGAAGAACAGGAAGACGGGACAGAAATTTTATCAGCTTTAAAAAAAAATCCCGCTGTGTCAGCTTATTTCCAACCTCTTGTTAATGCTCAAGTTACACATCCTCTGCATTATCGAAGAGACGAATCTGTTGAAAGTCTTGAAAGTGACTCAAATTACAAGCCAAATCCTTATATTGCAGGACCTGTGCGTATCCGACGTTATACCAGAGGGCGAAGCCGGGAAAATGAGAAAAAGAGAGACGACGAGGATGATGCTTCCTATGACTATAGTTCGGAGTATGAGGCTATGCCAAAAGCTTTTAAGGGAAGTCGTTATAGCGCCTATAAGGATGACAAAGACTCTAAGGATAAATACGATTATCCTTATAATTACGATAGTGGCTATGACCACAAAGAATATGACAGAATCAAAGAATTATCGGATAAACAAGCTGCAGAAATTAAAGAAAATCCTGGTAACTGCAAGGAAGTTAAGCGAGATGGGATGACCTGTAATGTATGCAAGGACCCCAAAACGGGTGGTAATTATGAATCCTGTTCATACCAGGCTGAACCGAAAAATAATAAATATGCTTATTCAAAGGAAAAAAATTTTGACAGCAACGATGAACCCGATGATAAGCCTGACGAAGAAAATGATAAGCCCGCAAAAATAAAAAACTATGAAGACTCCCCGGATGACAAAACGGGTCCACAAAAATTTTCTGATTCCGAAGAAAAGCCTTCTAATAACTATAAACGTGGCGACGATGATGATAAATATAAATCATACTATATTCATACTTCCAATCCTAAGCCTAGTGAAGCGTTACGAGCATCAAGCGAAGAAAATAACGACGATAGGACCAAATCCAAAGGATACGACTATCAAAAGGCACTGCCAGGATTTTATTCGGACAATGAACCAAAGAAAGATGTGGAACATGTACTAGCAGAATTTAAAAAGAAGGACAGATCGGCATGTAATAAGGTTCAGAAAAATGGAATGACATGTTTTCAGTGCCTTGATAAGGCTGGATTGAAACATGAAGAGTGTATGTTTGTTTCCGAGTCGGCCCCCAAGAAAAGTCATTTGGCATATCAGGAAGTTAAAGAATTTACATCTAAACCTGCTACGCTCGAAGAAGGCAACGAAGGTTCGGAAAGTCAAACTATAACCACAAGTACGCCCCCATTACAAACGTCAGCGATAAGTAAACGATTGAATAAACAGAAACGAAAGAAGGCAACACACGCATCTCTCGCTGCGTCTGCTAGTAATCCTGTAGCTGCGACAGCAACTAAACAAAGGTCCGTAAAAGTTAAAAGAAGTCAGAACAGTGAAGTAAATGAAGAGAAGCCTGTTGCCGATGAGCCAAATATTGCCCCGCCGGAGGAATTTGCAAGTGCCGATTCTAAAGGTGCATTTTGGGCAGAAACTGTCCCACGTTACAGCGCAGATTTAGGCGTTTCTTTACCGGAATACATGCTCTCAAGATCAGATCATGAGGCTTCATTTGATGAGTTAGTCGTAGGAGCTTAAGATAAGACCTCGGTAATACTTAGATATGATTACTAAAACAGGATCGTGTCTTAACCCCATTCCGAGACTATACACCGCCTAGTTATTTCTGTTTATAATTGTGAACCAAAAGAACTATGTAACATTTGTAATGTAAAAGTGGAAAGGTATTTTTACAGACTTATTTTAATTTTATTAAAGCTAGGCGTTTTATAATACTGCGAACAATACTTATAATTATTACGTTGTTAAATTTAAAGATAGGTGTCTAGCCTATCTAGTTATTGTTGACTAGTTTTATTTTATAAATAAATATTTTTATATAATACATGTGTTTATTGTTGCACAAATTATTTTCACGTAAACATTTAACTTCCCTGACATTGAGCCCGAAACTGCCGCCGGTGATACATGTGTCTATACAAGTATCTCAAGCTTGCCAATATCTTATATAAATTGCCTATGGATACGGTTTAGTCACAAAAATATTAATTTGAATTAAACATAGAGCGACCCATTTGAATCAACATAAATAAGAAATGGAACAATGAAATTCTAAGCTTCTGAACTTGTTGGCATTAAATCCGGTCAGCGGCCCAGATGTCAATATGTACGCCGTATACCGATCAACTGGTAATTGTCCAAATTTAACGTCACAAAGACACGAACCGCGACGTGGTGAAGATCCTACGAGGAAAGAGAAAGTAATTACAATTTGATTTTACGTCCGCTTATTCCTTTGTTGAAAACACATCGGGTTTTCTTAAAATACCTTGTTATTCTGTCTGCGAAAGTGTAGAACAGTGCGTGTTTAAATACATGTAAGTTTAATTATGTTGCGTTATTATTTAAGCTCATAAGTACCATTAGTTATTTATAATGTAACTTAATTAAAATAAAATACTACTTGTGTGCAAATTTCGGCTTAATAGATTACAGAGACCCGAGTAGAAGTTGTCAAATTAATAATAAATTAGTAACTCAGCGTTGTTCGATCTAAATCTGAATCTAGATCTGAACTGTGAACCATGTATGTTAATTTAAAAAAAAATACTACTTTAAGTTTCTTAGTAATTAAATAAACCCTCATACATTACAAAGCGAAGACTTTGTTGGACGCCCGAATCGCAATACATGTAGGATATTTTCATTTGTATTAAATTTGATAAACTATGTTTTATTATAAAACAAATAGGTGTTGAACGTTCTATAGCGAATTGTTAAATTACTTTCGGGGTAGATCCATTTTCCGAGGAGTAATATTACAGTAGGACTGAAAAGACGCGTAAAACTGCGGGCACAACGTTAGGTATATTACCATAGGAATTTATACATGGATTTCGTAGTTATCACATTATTAGAGGCGTAAAAGATAAAATATTTTTTTTCTTAAACCTGACTTGTTATCATGATTAAACTGGCGAGATTATTTTAATAGTACAGACATATTTGTATTTTGGACAAGGAGATATTTTTTTTTAATCTACTGACAAAGTTAGTTATAAAAATACAAATACTTCCCAATATTTTACGAAATGACCCAACAATAAAAAGTAATCTTATGAGAAATCGTTCAAACAGGCGATGTCGAAAATGATTTCTTGTATCTGTGCCAAATAACCAATTCAATTGAATTGCGTAGTTGTTTCTTTACGGCTTGCCCGTGTTTATTTTTATAACATCAAACGTTGGCCTGTAAAAAAGCCTAGAATCTTTGGTGTATATGTATATTACACAGTATATCTAGCAATCGGAAATTTTAGTTATAAAAGTTTCGTTTAGTTATAAACAAAACTATTTCATAGGAATAACGAATAATGTAGAAGATCAATACAGATTAATATGTAATGTCGTGAATAAAAATTCTAAATATATGTTGTTTTATAAAGAATGTCAGTAGTCCTATGAGAACGGCCCCCGTGATTTTGGTGATCTTATTTTGCATAAAGAACCTGGATTCGATTTCTGTCGCATCATTTATATTAGTTACTAATTCTTACAAAAGGCGTAAGACAGACACATATTTTATCAACAGCACAAGTAAAGCCCCGTATTCATAGGAAACATTTGTTGAGCAACAAAGTTGAATCAACGTGTTGCGGAGTTGCTGTCAACATGTTGCTGGCAACACTGCGTGTTGCAGAGTTGACAGCATCATGTTGACAAGCTCTCGCCCGACAACTAAAATCAGTTTAGCACAATTGTTGACGTGTGTGGACGAGTTTGCAACAGTTTATAAACATGGCAGTAGTGTGGAGCAATATAAAATAATCAATTAATAGAATTATTTCAATCAAAACCATTATTATGGGATTGTTCTATAAAACAATACAAAGATAGAAACAAAAGAACGATGCATTCGAAGAAATTTCTCAAGTCCTAAATATACCCAAAAAGACTAGAAACTAAAATACATGTACTGCGTATCAATTTACTAGAGAGAAAAAAAGATGTCGGCAAAAAAACTACAGGCAGCCGCAATAGAAAAATGTAAATGGATTTATTACGAGCCATTGGAATTTTTGTTATGTGGTGCAACTACTTCTGGTGAAACGGATACTATGAATAAAACAGTAAGTTGTTTTTGTATATAATTGTTTTATACTATTGTCTTAAAATTATTACAATTACCTACATTATTTTGCCATGGAACTCTTCCCTCTGAGTTATAAAGTAATCGGCAAACTGTTCTCTAATACAAAGAGCTGATTGTGATGCAGGCCTGCCCCGTCTTTGCAAATCAATCATAGGAAACGAACTTAGTTCCCTTCGCCAAGAACCTTCTAATAGGTTACCTTCAGAGTCTTCAAAATCAAAAGTTTGTGGAGGTGTATATATGGATCTGGAAATAGTTACGTCTTAAGAAGTTATGTAAATATACACAAGCAATTACCACAGTTCACAATTGGCTGGTTTTAACGGAATAGGTTTAGTGAATACACGAACACCACACATAAAATGCCAAAAACATTTTCTATAATCCTCCTAGCTCTTGATAGTCTGTAATTGAATATACGCTTTTTGTTCCCACGTTCATGAATGCCAGGATATGGTTTCATGATGTTCTCCGTTAGCCGAAAGCACTGTCACCTACAATTACATACGGCATTTCTGTTCCGCCTTGTGTTATTGGTTCAGGCCGTGGCAGTTTAAGTGAGTTTTCTAACAATGATTATAAAACGGTGTTTCTTGAAATATTCCACTGTCGGACGACCGACCCTTAGCTCCATAATTTGCGTAAATAAAGTTGTAATTGCCATCTGCAATTGCCATAAGTACCATGCTGAACTGATTTTTATAATTGTAGTATTCACTTCCAGAATTATTTGGCGCCACAATCATAACGTGTTTCCCATCAATGCCCCAATGCAATGTGGAAAATTCCATCGTATTTCGAATTCACGACTTATTTGTTTCCATTCTTGTTCCGAACTTGGAACCTAAAAAATAAATAAATATATAATAAGATAATAATTTACAGGTAGATGAAAAAATGCACTTGAAAGTGGTATGGAGTCAAGCCATCTCAATCACCAAGGCCGAATGCTACAAATCTACATCTTCGAGGAAAAGATAAGAAGATGAATCAAATGAAATATTAGAGGTTTTGAAAAGTGCTAGAAAAAAGATGGATGAAAGGGAGAAGAAGGATCCATTTGATATATATGGTGAATATATTGCTGCTGAATTAAGAAGTGTTAAAGATGACCAACCTGACACAGCAAAGTACCATATTATAATATACTGTATGATTAAAAATGGGACGATATAATACATATGGATATCAAACGGCATCTTCTCATCCATCATCAACACCAAATAATGTTCAGGAAATGAAATAAGGGAAATTGAGAGACACGAAACAAATAGACTAGATCATTACGAGACGAAACAGAAGATTCGGCTATACTAAACTTAGTTAACTATCTCAGTGATGAATCAACGCAATAGCATACACTGTTTTTTTTTGTGTTTTTAATTAATAAAATACTTGATTACACAAATAGTGTTCTTGTACCTTGAATATCCTGCTAGTGAGTTAATTAGTTCTTGACATACATCTGGTATAATTTTGCTAATCAATTGTTTTGATACTTTGAATGTGTATGAAAGAGAACTGTATGAATCTCAGTTGCAAGATACCGTAATGTAATAGCCAGCCTCGTTTGAGGTGAAACTGGCTGACGAATATTTGTTTCCCTTTTGGCTATTGATGGACCAATCATTTCTAGAAGATGTTCGAAATCACTTTTCGACATTCTCGTAAAGTTACAAAATGATCCATCTGTCATTCTGAGGTACTCATCAAATTTTCTCTTTGCAAAAGATAATTTCGAATCCACCATCTTTTTCTCTTTTTTTTATTAGAGATTCTATACATCTGATACAGAGAACACAACAACACTACCTCCTCGGGCAACATTTTAACGCAGACTGGCGTGTGGACAACCTGTATTGATTTAAACATAGTTGCTAGCAACATTCTCGCCGCTCACCAACAATGTTTAGCAACTGTTGCTAAACAAATGTTTACCATGAATACGGGGCTTAAACCTCCAACAATTTATCTAGGGAACGTAGAGGATATTGGTATGTTTATGTTAAACAAATCATTTTCAGAATACCCAATTTCAGTGATAATGAGCGCAAACTATTTAAATTACGATGACGTCAGTGACATTGACGTGAATTCGCTACCATTGAAGCCACCACAAGCTTTGATTCCTCCCGAGAAGGCAATCCGGCGGACGTGGCATCCAGTAATGTGGGATGATGGCAGCCAACCAGGAGACCAGCCGATAGGAGAAGTAAGCTGAGATTATGTTTCCACTGCTTTTACCCGCCGATGCAAATAACTTTTATGCATTTCATCAATATCGGTATCGCTGAATCTTTTAGTTTTTCATAGAATTTTTATTTAGATTTTCAATAAAGTTATCATATATCGCAATTACCTAACCATTTATAGTTTCTGTCATAGACGTTTAGATTTCGAACCATTCCCATTAGTATTTAACACAATTATTAGACTGATGACACTACAATTCGTTCTAATAATTTATATCCTTAACTTGTTATAAAAGCATTTCAGTCTCACGTATATTTTGATTTTAGAAAGTAATATTTCATGTGCAATTTTCTTGTAATATTCTAAGCTGATATATTATATACAAAAAGTCATTGATAAAGTTTATCATTTTCATATATTGACACTATGAGCCAAGTTTATTCAATGTTTTGTTTACTTTAAACAATTTTTCTAGGCTCACCCACCATCCAAAGAGTTCCCTCACAAGAAACAAATCCGTAACATTAGACGTCTCATTGCTGAAGGAAAAGTCAAACCGACGTCTGAAACTCTTATTTTCTTCCTTTGTAATAAATTTGCTATCTCAGAAGAAAGACAAGCGAGGATGAGAGACTCTTAATTATAAATTTAATTAACGTTTAAAATGTATAAAATACCTAATTAGAACTATTATACCATGTTGTATGAAAATGGTGATATTATAATTACATATTATGTATCTTTAGATATAAATTTCGTGAAAATCATTCATTTATAAATGAATTATATTTTTGGAAAGTGATATGTAAATTTCATTATTAAGAAATAAATTTTATTACTGTATCAATTTATAATTTCATACTTAAAAGTTGTCGTATGTAGATGTAAATAAATAACAGGTGAATTAAATTAAAAAATAAATAAATAAAAATCTATCCGTGTAGCTTTAATGTTCTCTTATTTATCGAAATGCAGCATATTGCAGTATCCTCCACATTCAACATAAAATCTTTTAAATCTATATTACATAGACGCCGATACGTATAAAAATTATGCACTCTATTCCTTGTACCGGTCGCGGCGCGACAACAAATTGACCTACGAGTCACTCGCTCCGACGAACGCGTCGTCGTTTCGGAAACGTTACATATAATTTATATTCTTCACAGAAATTATCTACACACGAGACTTTTATAAATCAAAATTGTATATAACTTAGATAAAAAATGTAGAATCGCATCTATCGAGCGGCGGCCGGGCCATGCGATCCGTCAAAATAAATAAAAAGTATAAAAATTGTAATGTACCGGCGATGGAACGCGCACTTAAGTGTCTTCTCACTGATATAGTTCACTGCACTAAGGCCGACACGAAACTCACGCGCACTACCACGGCGACACTTCTTAGTATAATGGAATAAATTAAATATAACATTTAAATTTAAGAATACATGAAAATCATAACTTAATTAAATTTATAATTCGAATGGAATTAGTAGCACAGTGTAATAACTATGCAACTAAAGAGCCGCTGCGTCGACGCCGACAGAAAATATTGCCTTTATCATATGCGACATACAAAAATTAGTTTACCGCAACCACCAATCTCAAGTCTTTAAGCTTCAGCATCAGCTGGACAGCTCAATCTGGTTTCGACTGATTCACATTCTGGAATCATCTGCCTCGCGTACGCATAGAATAGCGACAAAAGTTCCGCTCACCGCAGACGCAGAACTGCACCGCAGGGCTTAGAGTGCTCGTGTCGCCGCGGGTTTAGCGCGTGTCATCGGTGTGACGCGTGTACGTACGCGGTTAATTCGTGCGGGTCTAGCGTGACGGCTATGTGGGCGGGGCCGGCGGGGGAGCAGCGGGCGGAGGCGCACTCTTGCTGCCCGCTGCTGCCCCCGCTCCCGCTGTACTCGTCGCTGCACTGGCCTCTTCCTCCTCCTCTTCTTCAGGGTCGAATTTCAACATTAGTTGCTTAAACTGAAACAATACGATACGTTGTATTACGATGGCTTATTTCACTGCAATTGTTTCGGCCAATGGCATAGTGAACAATTTAACGTCGAAAAAAGTTTGTCAAAAAGTGATTTATAGAATACCACAATAGTTAGTACAATGGCCATTTAAAATATACAAATAAATTTGGTGAAGTGTATATGTATAGAAATACATACGACTGCTATTAAATAAAGTAACAGAAAAAACGGGTTAGCAATAATTATTCGAATTAAATACATATATTAATTCTGTTACTATTTTAAATAATATTGTAATTTGCAGGTGTATTCAAAAAGAATATTAGGCAAAAATATGAGTTTCATCAATGCCAATTAAGAGTACTGTAAACATATTTACCTCTAAGTAGTCATCGACGAGTCGTCGTCGCGAGTGTTCGTCGAGTTCTTCAACGACATCGTCTTGTTCGAGCTGTGCGATCGTCGCTTTGGGCTCGAACTGCGGTGCGTGTCTCCGCGATATTGCCTTCTCATATACTTTCACATTTTCTGATGGCGAATACTGATTTATTTTTCTAAAAAAATCAAAGGAAACAATTAGATGTGACGGAATACTACAGATTATAGAAACTAGAAATAAGCTCCAACTTCTGACAAATCCAATATGATTAACCAGACTGTGCATATAATCTATAGCAATCGATTCCGACGAATCTGTTCATCTACTTGATAAAAATTAATCAATAAAAATAATAATAGAATAGACTTTTTAGGTTTTACATAAATATTCTCTATATAATATTAATTTGCAAAGACATAACATTCTTATAAGCAATCATTTAGTATCATGTTTTATAAACATCCATAGTATAATCAATTCAATATTATGGTTAAAAAATGGTCTGTAGGCTGGAAACACTCGCGAGTCACGTAATGGTTGCAGGTGCCTACAAACATTTTGTAAAAAAGAAAAAATATCTTTGCGATTTAAAAGAGTGACGGAGAGTTATTTCCAGTTTTTCTCTTCCGTTCTACGCCTTGATTTGGGAACTGCCAGTAAATATACATTTAGGATCATTTTTTTTACTGACATCCAATAGTACCTTTAGCAACCTTAATAAAAAAAATGGCATTGCCTCAGGCGGCGATATTATTAAACATATGGAACCTGAGACTTTTGACTTGAAAATGACTTTGCGTGTGTTTTAATTGTAACTCACTAAATGACATTAGTACACTCGTCGCCACGTGATCTTTTGTTGCCTAGTACAATATCTAATATATACAATTCTCGTGTCACAATGTTAGTTACCATACTCTTCCGAAACGGCTTGACCGATTTTTATCAAATTTTATATGCATATTCAGTAGGTCTGAGAATCGGCTACTATCTATTTTTCATACCCCTAATCACTTAGGGGTATGAAAAATAGATAGTAGATAGTAAGGGTTGTCCATCCTTAAGATTTTATTTTAATTTTTTAGACAATTTTTTTTGTTTTAATTTTTTATGATACAGCATACAAAAATACATACAACCCCTAATTTCCACCCCTTTTTATTATATAGCTAGTACGCTCTTTAATTGAACTAAAAAATGTTTCCTAGAAATAATATATAGTTGGTAATTCTTCACTGCAATATTTCTATATTTCACAGGATTTATAAAAAGTTATTCATTCTATTTTGAATGTTTGACTATTGTTTTAAAATAAAAAATAATTTCATAATTTTCACAATGAATTAAAAAGACCAATAGTTTTATTGTGTTGCACCGCTGTGACTCAGTACCATTTTCAAGTTGCTCAAAAATTTTAATATAACCTTAGGTTTGTGTACGTATATATATACCTTGAAGTTATGTTGAGGACAAGAAAATAACTCATAAGAAAAAGTAATAAACTATCAAAGATAGTAAGAAATTTTCAAAAAAAGTTGATGGCTTTGCAGATGGTTTCAGTAGGAAAAAATAAAAAGGTTTTAAATGAAGATCTTGGTCTAAGCATACAAAAAAAAGTGGGAATTACTTAATTCTCAAAAAATAAGGCTTAAGAGATCGCGGTGTTGTTTAACGGTACCAAAAACCACACCTATATCCTCTTTACACGAAAAAAATTTCGATAATAAAAGAAGTACAATAAACAGATTGATACAGTGTACGCTAGAGTTCTGAAGAAGTAAAAATAAAGTTCCAAGGTACATCATGGAATCATCCATCATCAGTAATGGTCTGGTTGGGAGTGTCCTCTACGGGTAACTGAGGTTCATTTTTGCAAAAGGGGTCAAACCGGCTAAAGTGTAAGAGACGTTTTGGATGTCCTTGTCAAAGACCTGTCAGACCTATTTGGGAATCACTTCGTGTTCCAAGTATCTGAGCCTGATAAAAGCAAGAATAAACCGGTTTGAGCGTCAAAAATCGATTTAATTAGACATGAGGATTGGCCTTCCTCCAGTGGACTTAATTTTGACTATAAATTTTAGCAGGTTTAGAGAGGAAGGTCTGTGATACACCCCATAAAAATTTGAGAGTCTGCAGTCGTCTTTAAAAATCAGTACTAAATATAATATGTTGTGGATAAGATTAAGGCTGTATTAAAATAAGGAGGTCATTTCGAATAAGTTTATCTATTTCTATTCTTAATTAATTATATGAATTATTATATATTAAAAGATAGTACTTGTTTTATGATTATTTCCATTTATGACAGAATTTGGGAGATATACATGGCAAAACAACGTTTGCCGGGTCAGCTAGTATATCTATAAAACAAATAATAAAATTAACATGAAACATGGAGAGTTAAATACTCACGCGTCAGTGAGGCCGTACAACTGCTTTAAGTGCTGCTTAAGCACGAGCAGCAATAAGCAGCCCCGGGCCTTTCTCATAGCGTCCCTTAGCGGGCGTGCATCTTCAGGCATCCGGCAGACCAGCGACTCGGCTTCCTCTTCCTCGTCTTCTTCATCCAGTGCCTCTTTTTCTTTCTCCTCTGTTTCGTCCTTAATTAATCCCTGTGAAAGGTATGTACAAATATCAATACCATAGAATTTATAAACGCCTCGTTAAACATACACTGTGTATGTATGTACAAACTTACCTCACGAAAAAGCTGCAAGAGATTGGATCCCGAAGTAGAAATAATAATGTCGATATGGTGAATTATAAAAAGGGGTTCATCTTGAACTTGATATGGAAAATAACTTAAGTTATCAGCCAGAAACAACATCTGATTCAGTGGCACAGTCTGAAAATCATAGTTATATTATTTTGATTCACCAAAACATTAGTAGAATAAAAAAATATATATATCAATAAAAATTAAGTAGTAATTTTATTTTTTAAACCAAAACAAAATTATTCAAATAAGCCTTTTTAAAAGCACATAGTAATCTTTGCTTTTGCTTTACCAATATATAATGATAGATAAATATGAGCCAAAGTTTAGTGTGTCATGGGACAAATAAAGATTACTTTTCTTAGCTACAAATGGATATCAAGGCGTTTTTAGGCGGCCTTTAGATTTTAAGATTATTCAAATCAATTTCGCCATGAGCTAACTAGATGAATTTTATCATAGTTCTACAATACAATAAACAAAATAAACTTACCGAAGCATCGTCGAATTGTTTCAGTAACGACAACACGAGTGCCCGCCTCTGCGGTCTCGTATTTCGTAATAATGAATATAAAAAACCATTCAGCGCGGACGGTAGATCGTCTTGTTCCTTTTTCCTAAAAAAATAAATAAATTATAAATTTACTAACTAACCTTGTGCGGAAACACAATTCAAAATGAAAATAAGTTCTTGAATTTGAAAGAAAAACTTTTGACCTTTGGCAGTGTACATTTTGACAAGCAAAATTGCTCAAATGAAATTTTTAATTTCGTAAATTTTTGTAACTACCCACATTTATTATATTTTGTAATACATAAGACCTGATTTTCTTCTAGTCATAAATCAGTGGCGCTACAACCTTTTTAGGTCTGGGCTTCAGATTTCTGTATCTGTTTCATGATTATTTATCAATCTAATAGACAAGTAGGTGATCAGCCTCTTGTGCCTGACACACGCCATCGCCTTTTGGGTCCAAGGCAAGTCGGTTTTCTCACGATGTTTTCCTTCACCGTTCGAGCGAATGTTAAATGCGCACATAGAAAGAATGTCCATTGGTGCACAACGGGGGATCGAACCTACAACCTCAGGAATGAGAGTCGCACGCTGAAGCCACTAGGTAAACACTGCTCAAACATATTTTCATGTATTAGAATACATTTGAATACCCACATTAAGAGAAAACTAAACTTACCTAAACCCTCTAATGGCACCTTTGCATTTCACCTGTAAAATCTTCTGTAACTCGTAAGACAACTTGATACCGAGTTGAGCCTTCATGTGAATAAAACCTGGATATTTTTTGTCAATATCTTGAAGGTTTTTGTCTGCTGTATGTGACACAGTTACTTCTGTATCTGTACTCATCGATATTAAATAGGGGACAATCTGAAATAATATTTGTGTAATCAATACGCGTAAATATTCTTCTTAAATTAAAAGAAAAAAACTATTATTATTCTATATTTTAATATTTTTTTAAAATATTAAACCACATCAGTTGTTGAAATTTTTTTAACTGCATCTATTTATAGTTGGTATTCAGGAAGTGATATGAAAAATGTATATCAGCCCTTTTTAAGATCATCATTATAGGGGTACTACACACCTGAACGGGATGGACCAGTCCCTGCGCGAGCACCAACTGAACAACCTTCATGGCACTGGATCGCACTGTAGTACTGGGGTGGAGGAAGGAGTCGAGAATTTCCTTCAGGTACAACTGGATCACGGTCGATGCCATACCAGATGAAACATCTCCCATCTCCTTTAAGTTCTCCATTTTGGAATTTTTTGACCCTGTGAATGTGATTAATTGATGATTTTTATTGTATTTTGAAACATTCTATTTATTTTAAAAAAATACAGAAGTTTATTTGACGGCGGAACATTAATTGGTCCCAGTTTCTCCGTCTACCGAATCATTATAGACCAGTATCGATAATTTTTGAAACCTAAAAAAATAATACTTTGACGGGTGAATTTTCGATTGAAAATTAGGGTGCTTTTTTGATAATAATTCAAAATAAGGTGAAAAAATTATTATTTCAAATCAAATAAATTAGAGCGTATTAAAGACATAAAAAGGTAAGTTTTCACCAAATTCGTGGGAAAAAATAAATTTGTTAAAGATAAAAATTAAAAACCAAAAACTTGGTTTTTTGAATTTTTCACATAAATTTTGAGGTTATGTGAAAACTGTGTAAATACAAAAGTTTTAGATCTTTATATTACCTACAACTTTGCCATTTGACTTTTTTCCATAGGACTTTTAGTTTTGCCGGAAATCGAGATAAACAGTTTTTTACCCTTAAAACTCCCCCTTCCCCCCGACCTCAGATCGCCCGTAAATTATTTTTCCTTTAATTTTTATAATATTCTCCTCCCTTTCCAATAGGTTTCATCCTACTATTATTTTTTTCATTTTTATTTTTTTTAAGGCTACTATTACAATAATATTAAAATACTTTAAAAAAAATGAAAATTCAAACAAGGCATAATAATTACTAAACCTTAACCTTAAAAATATGAGTGGGTAAATAAAAGCCAATCTATGCTTACATTCCTTATCCTGTCTGATCATCCGCTGTTCTTCCTCTTGTAAGTACATCTCAATATTTCTGAGAACATCTGCTTTCATCTCAATAGGGGCCAGCTCAGACGTAAGGAGATGATGATAGAACTCCTTCAATTCTTGCCTTAACATGAACTCATAATGCCTGACACACACAGAGCCGAGCGCTTTCAACGTGTGTGACACGAAGTCTTCGTCTTCAAGACCAACGAAATACATTAATGTACTGTACACTTGTTCTTTGATGTCATTCTGAAATATGGTTTTAAACATTTTGTTGATTTTGTTGTACATAAGATGCATGTAAGTTAATATGACGTGCCTTTATTGATATAACAGAAATTCCAAGCGGTAATATAGAAATTTTAAATCATATTATAATTTAAAATATTAACTTTGCTATGTGCCAAATCGATCGATAGAGCGATCATAATATGATATGAAGGTAATTTAAAAAAATCTAAAATAAATAATCTCGTGATTTGGAAATATTACTCACATGTAATCCGTCAATAACTTTGCCATCGGTAAAGTCAAAATATCTTAACAGAAGGCCCACAATGAACAGAGCTCGGCGGAAGTGAGGCCTCGAGTGCAATGACCGAGTCACTTCTGGATTCCGTTGCCAGCCCTGTTTCCACTGCAGAAGAATACCTTGGAATGGAAAGTAACTATAAAATGGACACATATTCATGTATAATACAAATTAAGGCTGAAATTTTGTAAAACGAACGGGGTCTGTATTTTTAGTACTATTTTTTTTTAATTAATTTATTTTATAGAACAATATAATAAAATCAAGATACATTAGAAAACCACTGTGGTTTGTATAAATGTAACCATACAGTCATGTTTAGGAGCGAGGTTTTCCAATTTACTTTTTATGTTATTGAACGTTTGCTCTCGATGTACAGATCCGAACTTACGTTACCGCTCGGGTCTGTACGTCATGCTCAACTCGTTTTTTTATTTCATCTCGAAAAAAGTGCGCAAATATACTCTGATTTTTAATTCCGTAGAATTCTGACATTTCATAAGTGTTGCTACTAAAAAAGTTCTCCACCGAAATGGGACAAATTTGACTTATTTGAGGGCAATAAAAAATGTTACGTATATTTTATGTTTTACCTACAAAAAGGTAAACTAAAAAAAAATATTTACTTACTTAAGTGACCTAATACAAAAATAACAAATACATATTTCAATATCACAAACAATATATCGAATTAACTTTAATTACCTTATTTTATTCTTTAGCTGGCATTACTACCTACTAATTCCAGGTTTAGTAAACCTTTTTTACCCGCACTTAATAAAATGGGTACATAAACTAACAATAAAATATATGTATGATGTTCCGACTCGTATTGAAATTAAAAAATGCCCGGCCAAAAAGTTTTGCAGAATTCTACAGAATTAAAAATCAGTATAGAAGACATATTTTATTTACTTTTTCTGTGATGGGCAGTATTTTGAAATGTTTAAAAAGACAAATTAAACTAAAACAAAACAAATTTCTCAGGCTAAACTCGTAGGTAGTTTTTGAGATTTACTTATGAAATGATATTGCAGTAAATACGGAATAATTAGATCAACAATATAAGGGTTTTACGATGAATTAAAACAAAGGTTAGGACTTAGAGGACCAAAAGCCTTTTGGAAATAGGAATAATCTTTTCTTGAACGATTTTAGGGTAGGACTCAAAAACGGTTCATTTTACGGTTGTTAATAACGGCCGTCTTTACTTTTTAACATAATGCAAAAAAAAACAATCATTTTCGCTCGTCACGTTTCCACTCATTGTATTAATTAAATATGGGCACCGCTACACGCGAAAAACGTTGAACTACTGTTTATTACCGCTATGACGGCCGTCATGCAAATGATAGCACCGCTATTTGACGTTACGGTGACACTCAACGTTCTCTAGGAAACCTACTCCGATGTTATTTATAGACAACGTATGGGTGACGTCACCCAACGCTACATTACGGCCGTAAGATAACGGCACCGCTTTTCTAGGAAACCTAAGCTTTAGAACGAACTCGTGACTTCCGTATCAAAATCCGGTACGTTTTAGACATACGGGAGAACCTCTGTGATTGCCTCGATTGCAGATATCTTATTCTATATCTTTGGAAATTATACAGGCACGATGTTGCCTCGGCGTAAAATAGGTTGCCGTATGCCACATATGCCGCATATTTATAGTATGCCCATTGATATACAAAAACCCAAGATGCACAATCAACGTCTAAAAAACGTCCTCAAAAAATGAGCGCAACATTCTAAATTGTGCGCTCATTTCAAATAGTCTCGCGTCTATAAGTGGAGTCGATGTTAGTTATTTGTGTTTTTTTATAAATAAATTTATGTACTCTTGAACTTTTTTGTGTGTAGTTTTTGACAAATATATTTACGCTATATAAAGTGTGGGTCAGGAGGTAGCCAATTTAACATTTTTTTTTAATTTAAAGAAAAAACTTTATAACCGGATTAATGTTATGTATTATTATAAATTTACAACTATTTAACATCCAACACCTTTTGTCTTCAGTCACCGTGACCACTCACGCTGTAAAGCACCCGAAAAGTCGGATAAATTTAAAATTATGTTAAATAGTTGTAAATAAAAAAGTCATGTTCGACTCCACTCAATACCTTGTCCTACTGGTCTAAGATCCCGCTATACAACGACCTTCACCGAGATGCTTATTTAATGAAACTTATTTTATATATAATTTAATATGTCAATAAATATAATCCATATGGGTTGCCTAGCAAATTTCAGTCCAGAGTATGTTTAATTAATTTAAAAAAAAATATTTTTTTAAACATTTCACCGGTATGATTATTAGATAAATTCTATACCAATCGAACGTATGAAGCCCATAGAATATGCAAACGTTAGGTTGTTTTTAATCAATTAATTATTTATGTGTATATTTTTTATGTGACACTAAAGTATATATACATCTTTAGTATAAAAGAAGGTTATAGTGATACATATATAATACTACCCTGATTAAAAATATTGATTGAAAAAAGTTCAAAAAATTTACTACATGCAAATTATTAAAAAAAATTTTTTTTTAATATTAATTAAACATACTCTGGACTGAAATTTGCTAGGCAACCCATAAATATTATTGACATATTAAATTAAATATAAAATAAGTTTCATTAAATAAGCATCTCGGTGAAGGTCGTTGTATAGCGGGATCTTATACTATACCGACCACGGTCGGTCGTAAAATTTTATTGCTTTAAGTACGTATACACTGCGTTGTAATAACAACTTTAAGCAATTCGCGTAAGGTTGATTTTGCAATAATATATGCTTGTAACATATACTGTTATGGACAGAAATATTGTTTCGGGACACTTTCGAGCGTTACTTTTATTCGAGACTGTGCATCTTGGGTTTTTTGTATATCAATGAGTATGCCACAAGGTGCCGCATGTCACAATTTGTAGCATGCGGCACTGTCGCACGTTGTTGACTCGGCGTAAACGAACCTTTAGACATAGTTCTTCAGTTTAAAATTAAATAAATAGCTATACTAACTGTGGTATTGGTTAAAGACGTCCCGTATGAGTTTGTAGTTGTGCGTTAGGTTGTTAACGATAGCTGCTAAGCAGGCGATGCATGAGGCTATAACTAGTTGTCCCCGCTGGAGAATCAGTTTCACTGCGTCTTCCTCCAGCTGAGCCAGAAACACTTCGCTGGGGTGTTCCATTAAAGGCACTACCAGCTCCAGGGTCGAAGCCACCGTTGACATTATTTGCTGCTCGTATTGATTCTAAAATATCAGTTAATTTTATTAGTAAATAATTTTAAGTGTTTACAATTACTGTTCATAACTTACACTGCAATCGACGTCACAATTATTTCAACTTAGAAATGTTCCAATGTAATTGACAATATTAATAGCAAGGAAAAATACATTTGATATCATAATTAAATTAATATTAATTTCTATATTAAAATAAAACATTTTAACAAAGAATATGAAACATAGGCCATGAAATATGAGATGGAAAAAAGCAATCAATTTCGCGAAATAGCACACGTGTATATGCAAATATTGGATATTGAATAATGCACTCAAAAGTAGAAGCTTAATATAAGGTTTTTAAATATGTATTGCCATATTAATAATTTGATAAACAATTAAAGAAAAATTAGAAATAGACTTACCTGACATTTTAAGCTCAAGTATGGTTGCAACGTCAGTGCGTGATTAACGAGCAATTGCGGCCGAATTTTTGCAAACAAATGTAGAGTTGAGAGGCACGCTAAAATACGCTGTGAAGAACTGTTACCTGTAATAAATGGTATTTACATTACTATTTAAAAGAAAATACACTTTACAGGACAAGACCTATACGATTATTTCAAATTATGAAAATAGTGGGAAGTGAGTGAGTAATTTACGAGTATTCTAGGACCCGACATACGTTGTCCTAGTAAGTGTAAGACGTATTTACACCTTAAATATAAAAAATCATCCACAACTTTTTTAAATCAAAATCGGTCCACCAGTTTAGGAATAAAACGAACACACGCAAAGAAGATACATTGAGTAGTTTATTAATATAATAAAAGAAATCGATATAATGGAAATACAGTAAATTAATAAAAAAAATTGGTTGTTCAACCCGTTGCGACGCGATAGGTGGATAAACAGACAAACACACTATCGTATTTGTTATTTCAATTCTACTTACCATCCGTATTCGTTTCCTCTAACTGCAGCAAATGTTCTATGAGGCAGTCAACTATTTGTTGACACGCAACAAGTAGAGATTTAGGCGGCTGGTAAATTATCTTCGTTGAATCATCTTTGTCCTCCTTAGGTTTAAATAACTGAAAAAAAAATGCATATGAAACTTAATTTCTTTCGTGTCTAAGTAGTGTGTTAAAAATACTCGGAGGATCTGGGGCAGAATCTTCCCTAACACCATTCCATGTTTAACGGATTTTAACATGTGTTTGCTTAAAATAAAGATTTAATAATAATTTCTGAATCGATTCAATACTAGTTCAACAGTACTTGCCAAAGTTTATTATATTTTTTTTATGAATGATATACAAACAATATATATATAGTTGACATATACACATTATGGGCAATAAATCCAGTCCAATATGAATTACGTGGTCCAATGCTTGTATGAGGGTAGTTAATAAAATATAGGGACGGACGGTAGTTGCTGTATATTTGATGTTCTGGGTTTTAAATTAGTTTTTGTGAAGTATTATTAGATTGCAATTTTCGAATTTATGTAACTTTGTGAGAGTTTATTTTATTGTTAGTTTTGGGTATACTTTTAAAGGCTCATTTATTCATTAAACTCAATTAAATATTTTATGTTAAAACTTTGTTTGAAAATAAAATTTCAATATTATATTTAGTATAATTTAGTACCTACTGGGTCCATTCTACTGTTATAATAAAATATTTGTTTTATTTACTTACACTAGTCAATAACTGTTGGAACCACTCCAAGCCCATATCCCTTGAGGAGATCACAACATCGGTGATGTTCAAGACCTTCCTAGTCAGAGGGTCTGCTGTGGCCGTGGTAAGGTCTAATGTTCCAGGTCTGGCCGTATTACGACATGGCGTAAACCACATATTTTGAAATACCTCCATAACTAATTTCCGAATACCCTCCTCGTCGTTCACTCTCCTAATCATTTTTACACAAATCTCGGGTATTTTCGGAAACTCGGGACACTCTATACAGATATCTTTTAATATTTTTATCACTCGTTTTCTGACAGACACGCCTGTGTCCTAAAAAATAGTAATTTGTATTAATTTAAAGAATAAAAACAACTTTCGTTTAACTTTTAACGTTAAAAAAAATCAAATGAAAAGTTTAGATCCTATAGAGAACCAGAACAAACAAATGAACATCACATAATCAGAACTTACCAATATCCTGTTAGAAAGCATTCCATAGTACTTGTCTATGAGATCCGGGCGACTGAGAACGAATTTGCCGACCAAGTCAACGGCCGCCTCCCGCACTGCAGTAGACTGGTCGAGGAAAGACCGGTTGACACCGATCTGCATATCGGGCCTCGCCAGCACAGAGGGATCCGCCTCCACGATCATCGTCAAACACTTCATTGCTTTCGTCCGGATAGCTATTGTATTTTCACACAGGATCACTAGGATTTTTCTAAGGTACTTGTCGAAACTCTGCGAGAACGACCGCTTGGAGGCTAAGTACTGGGAGATAAGTTCCGCCCCACTGTAGTCTATGTACGACTGCATCACTTGGACCTGAGTCCCACCTTGATACCGAAAAGGTCGAATTTTCTCTAAGAAGAAAGATTTCCTTCGCTCTATAGTTTTGAATTTCTCCGCAGACATTACAGCTGTCGTCACCTGCTTCTTGGACTCTCTTTCGCTGTCCTCGTCTGCATCAGAATCTTCATCGCTGCTGAGAACTTTATATCGTTTCTTAGATTTGTGTTTGGGTTTTTTCGTAGGCGATGCTTTGGGCTGAACGACCATGTCTCTATACCATTGTGTGATGTAAAAATGCCTGGAGCAGTTCCACGCTTGATCTTTTTGTCCGTTGATTGCTAAGTAGTCAAGTAGTACTCTTTGTAAGAACTCTGTCCTTTCCTCGTCTTCGTCTAGGCCGGATGAAGGTGTCTATAAAGAAAAAATAATAATAAATAAAACCATTAAATTTTTATTCTTAGACTCTTATGTAATTTAACTGGTATAATCATGAAGTAATGACTTATTTATGTTATTAATAAATAAGTCCTTTTTACCATCTTAAACTATGGACAAAAACACATAATAATATTTTAACGAACATTGACGAAATTAAAAAAAAAAATCGTTTCCTGTAATGTTTGGTTCTCTGGACATACGAAGTTATCATACTACAGCGACGTTATTTTGTATTTAAAATTGTAAGATAAATAACGCTTAGCGGTCTTTCGTTTCTCAAGTCAAAACTGATAAAATTAAAATATCTCATACATGCGCTTGACTGCCGTCTTTTTCTTCCTCGGTCCGTATATCTCGTATAACTGCGTCCATACTAGAAAGCTTTGCTCGCGAATGCACGCTATCCCTTCTCAGTCTCGATGCTACCAAACCAAATATTCCAGAGATGCCACGCGAACTGGCATTTCCATAGATTTATCCGACATATATTTTACCTATAAAAACAAATAGAAACTGTTACAAGGACAACGGGCCGCCTTACCGCTAACAAACAATCTCTCCCAAGTAACACGAGTCAGGAAAACAATAAAAAGACAATGGGAAAGTGAAGCCATACATACAATTACAAATAATATAAAATGTAGAATAAATTTAAAAAAAAAACGTTAATATATTTGTTAATTAATTTAAATAATTCTGTATCTTAATTTTGTCAAATCACATGTCAAACAAGTTCAAAAAGTAAATAATAAAAATAAACACTTACAAGCATCGTCCCAAGAAGGCTCAGTAGTAATTCCGTAGCGGGCCACTCTGGCTTATTTACAGTTGTTAGTAAGTCGTGTACGAAATTCTCAAACAAAGGCCTAAAGTCTACTTCCTCAGAGCGACTCCGGCATTTGTTTAAGAACGATGTCAGGAACGTGCCGCCCACACTGATAGCTGCCTCGTACCTTGATATTATTAGGAGATCTTTGTCTACGTGCTGAAATGAGATTATTTTATTTTGTGAGTATTAATACGATTAATGTTGACCTCATACGATTTAGAGACTTCGCTTCGTTCTGTGGAGCCGGTTAGTATTTAGCAGTAAATTGTTTAGATTGAAACCCCCCTGTGGTTAGAATGTATGACGCGATTATTTATTCCCTTTGGCTAATCACAATCAAGCAAAACGCTAATTGCGCGCTATAACAGGCGACGATGCGGCTGAATAGGAAATTATTTTATTAGAAAATTTATTAAAATCCATCCCTCTATTTGCATATTTCGATACATATGACAAATATTATTGAATATTTCTTTACTAAGGCTGAACTTCAGAAGCAAGACAAAGCGCGGTGTGACTCTCGTATGTCAAAAAAGTATTGGATTTAAACATACATTATTCTTAAGAATACTGAATCACGACCATAGAGTTTAAGAACATACAAGTAGCATTATATATGTTACTGTAAAAGCTCGAACTGCATAAATCTAAATATTCCAGTAAAACCTAAGATCTACCAATTCTAATGGTAAATGTCCAAAAAGGTTTGCGATTCGAACTCTTACCACCATTGCGTTGGTAAATCTTAGAATTTACATTAATGGCACTAAATTTGAAAAACAAAAATAATTATTAAGTTAGACTAGCTTATGTAAGCATTATGTTTGTATTTCGAAGTTAAATTCCAAATAGAGAACTACTGATTCAGTTAGATAGATATGATAGAGATTGAGATATTCAGAGATATAGGTTATGTGTTTTTTCAAAATAATTTAAATAAGTTGGTATTAGTTTGTACTTATTACTATCACATGATACCTTTATAATACTATGTACCTGTTTTGTCTAATAGTTCATTAAAGTAAATAATTAAGAATTACTCATTGTTTTATTCCTAAAACCAACATCTACCAGCTGACAGTGGTAAAACCTAGCATATACTGAATTCGGATGGTAAAAGCTCGAAAAAATCGTCGTATTTTCAGAAATACTTACATTTACCCACTCATGTCGGTAAATCCTAAGACTTACACTTAAATCTTAAGATTAACCGTAGTTTGAACTTTTACAGTAACATATATAAGTTAAAGTAAGTAAATATTTTTGTAGTGAAACTTCTTTAGGCGCATGAGGGTAAAAATTTTAATAATAATATTAGCGTCATGAAGATGTGCAGAGTTTGAGACCGATTGAGAGTGAGAAAGGGCGAACGTAGCAAGAAGCAAATAGCCATGGAGCGAGAGTAGGGAGCAAGCAAGTGAGAAAGATAGAGAGAGAGAGAGAGTGAGATAGAGCGAACGTCGCATCACGCACAGTGCCATGGAGCGAGAGGTGGGAGACAGATATAGTGAGAAAAATTGACAAAGAGAGTATAGGGAGATCGGGAAAAAATACACGCTATTGGTTGATGTATTCGTTTAGTAGTTACATATTTGAACTTTAGATGGCAATTCTGTCGCATAACGTCTTGTGTAGTTAACGTAGATTTTTTATTTATTTATATAATCATTAGCACGTATACAGTGTGTAAACAGTGTGAATATAGATATAGAAATACATGGAGTGATCATATTCTGGTACATGATCATCATGGGGCTTTTACCTCAGTAATAATTAATTTACAAAGAAACTTACTTAGAAAGTTTCACTTCTGACATGTGTACTTTGTACGCACGCACTTATTTTTTTTTAAAGTTTTAAGTGGCTTACAAATTATACTTCTGCTTGAAAATATTTGTATGTAGAATAAATCTAATATTTTCATAAATAAAGTCACTTACCTTCTTGCTCTCAACCTCAACGTCTTTATTCTTATCCTGTGACTTGCACAGAGTCTCAGGTAGGGTGACCACACACTGGACCAACTGTAATACGAGCGCTGTCAGCATCTGTATGTGCTGATCTGAGCTAAGCTGGAAGGAACGCAGGTTGTGCTTCGAGCTCGGAATACGAGCTATTGACGCTAGGATATCCTCCAGGAGCAGCCGCCTGTGTTGCTCGTACTTTGTGAATATCTGTTATATGTATGATTTTATTTAAAATTGCATAAAATGATAAGATTCTACATGATCTTCTTCGAGTGGAGGCAATACAATTACTCGCATATTAAGCATTTATCTGGAGTTATGGAGCAACTAATTTAAATTCAGTTTTAATAGCATTCAATTGGAATAACTTAATCTATATAAAAACAATTCTTGAGATATAGTGTTAGTACCTAACTCTAAATTCTATATTTGCGTGGTCTGAGAATAGCTCGTTAACTATTTTTTATACACCTGAATGATAAGGGTGAACCCCAATAATTTTTATTTTATAAATAAATATTAATATTCACCCTTATTTGAGTTTAAAAGTGATGAAGCACTGTAATAAACTTTATATGGAAAAACAAAGTTCAGCGGGCCAGCAATTTTTATGTAAAATCAATTTTCGATTCGTCTACAAAACAGTCCGTCACCAAAGCTTTACCTTTTTCTCTCTTTGAATTTCCTTTTATCTAAGTAATTTATGTATTGAAAAAATGTGTTTTTTAATAATAAGGAATCCTTGATACTGACCGTAGTAACAAGTTTGAGAGCGGAGAGCTGAAGTTCGCTGATGTTCTCGACGAAGAAGGGCGATACGGCGACAGTAGAGGCGTGCAACACAGTTGTGTCCGTCAGTTGGTGCGCGGCGAACAGTTCGCCGAGCAATGTGACACACTCGTGCGCATGTGTGTAGAGTTCCCGAACTGCTCGCGTTGAGTTCCCCCCGCTACGCTTGTTTGATTGATTCGCCGCACCACCCCGACGCTTTCGACCATCCACTTAAACAGAGATAACAGCTTTTTTAATACATAATTATCTCATGAGCCATTTTTATTATAGGTAAGTGGATCGTGTTATTTTTAAGCCGAAGTATTTTTTTTTATAGAACAGTGGCCAAACGGGATGAAGGCTCATCTGACGTTATGTGATTCTAATTGCCAGGGGGCTCGCGAGTGCATTGCCGGCCTTTTAGGAACTGGTACGCTCTTTCCTTGAAGGGCCTAAGTCAAATTGGTTCGGAAATACTTCAGTGACTGGTTCCACTTAGTAAAATATGTATATGATAAAAAGCAAATAATTATATAGGTTTTACATTTACTAATACTTAGGTGACTTACCTTTCTTTTTGGAAGTAGACTGGATACTATACACCGGATCGTAAACGCAATAAATCGTGTTGTTTAATTGAAATTTGATAAACATTATAATCCTATCAATGACATCTTCGAGGAATATGCGCTTGGGCATACTCGGGGAGGTCATTATGTAGAGTGCCGTCAGACAAGCGTCTGATGCACACATCACTCTCTCTAGCGCAGACTCTAACCATATTTGACGCATTTCTTCGCTGTCCTCCTACAAAAAATCTTTATTATAAATAATTATGATTCACAATTTATTAAATTACAGATTGAAAACGTAGGTCTTGATGAGGAAAACACATTGTTTTATATTTTATTAATTTTTTAAATAGTATTTGTATTGAGAAATACAAAAACAATACAAAAATATAGGATTTTGTTATAGAAAATAACAAATTTAAATTCCTTTATAATATATATTAGTAAATTTTAAACATATTTACATAACATCTTGCTAAAAATAATACTACAATATTCTTCAAACTAAAAGATTGATGTGTATCGAAATAATTTACAAAATGATTGTTGAATACTACTAACCGGATCTCCAATAAGTGACATTTTTTCAGCAGCCCTTATGTTTTTCTCCAATATATTAAGTAACCGAAGCAATCTGTCAGCAGGAATAGCTTCCATAGCACCAAGTGTCTTTAACTTAGCAGCCTCTGAACATAACTCTTGAAGTTGGTACCGCGGCAATAACAGTTCTTGTGGTATATCTGGACCTTCTGTAATAGATTTTGACAAGTTTATTCAGTTAGTCCATTTTCTTAAAAGTAAATTACATGGTTCAGTTTAATGGACCCAAAATTTTTTTTTATTAAAAAAGCACCTTATATACAAACATTAATAATTCTGTCACCACCATGGTTTACATAAATTTTTAGGTCATTATGAGTAAATGCTTAGCCGTGTTACCGTAAGGTAAATGAAACATAACATTTTGTCTTACATTGAAGCCAATTATTAACTAAATGACCATGACGAAAAAAAATTATGACCTAAATATAATTTAATATTTAAGACTTACCCATTTCATCTGTTATTATAACATCTTCATCAATTGTTTCAAAAACTGCTTCTATCAGTTTATTAAATCTCTGATAAGTGTTGGTCTCCATTAGTTCATCCACAGATAACATCTCTAATACAGGTACTAATCTCCTTTCAACCTTCCGTAACTTGGGTCGAACTGGAATTATAATAAATTTGAATCATCATACGTCATTTTGTATAGTGAAATTGTATTTATTACACCAATAGGAACAAAACTAATATTTTATTTCTTCAAATACTTAAATGCCTCATGCATTGCCTCAAATATAACATAAGAAATGGACCAAGATTTAGTGTAAATAACATATTTAGTTATTATGAGATTAGACTATTTAGTCAGTTAAATTCCTACTTAAAGACTGTCCCAGTGTTATCCATGCCATATAATCTAGTGGCCTGTATAGGCTTCGCACAGCTTGAATTTTATATTTTTAAATATTTTGGAAATGAACATGTAACTCAATCTATTCGTGAAAGATTTTTTTAAATCAATCCAGTAGTTTTTGAGTTGAACATACAAAAATTGTAATCTTTCTTTTTTATGGATTTGATTCTTATTTATTAGATAAAGATAAATATATTTTAAATCCGACTTTTTATTTATAATCCTAAGCATAAATATTCCATTATTACCGATAGCGGTTTCAGCTTCCTCCTTTTTACTAGCTTCCTCATGTTTTCTTTTAACAGCTTCCCAATTCTTTTCTCGAGCCATGTCAATGGCTTCCCTCTCTTTATCTAGAACTTGTGTGTTCTGTTTTTGCTTTGATTGTGGTTTTAATGGTGTGTTGTCGTCTGAGTCTGTTTCAACTGTGCTATTTTTCCGTACCCTCTCAGTGGTAAAATCATGCTTTTTCAGCAAGCCCTCCTATATAAATACAATAATTACAGTTATAGCAAGTCTAAAATTTGTTAATATTATTTGTTATACATATTGTAATAAGAGTTTCACCCATAGTTGATACAAGGGATAGTTTTGTTAAATGTGATTTCAGTTAAGTAATTCTTTGACTTGTTTAAGTTTTATAAAATATGTGAGACGTGTACATAGTCACGTATAGCATAAGTATCAAGAGATAAGGAAAGGTTTTTCATACTTACAGACAGACGACCAATTTTAACCACTGGATATCTAGTATTTACAGTATTAGAACCTTTGGCCTGATCTTGTGCATAAGGAGTGCCCATGGAGGGTTGAGGCACTTGAGGTTCTTGGCGTAGCGGCGATGGCGCTACACTAGCTTGAGCTGGGGATTGCCCAGTCATTACGTTTCCGTCTAGGGACAATAATTTTATTATTAAACATTAATATTGAAATCCCATATTTACCTACTTGTAGTGTTTTCAAAAAAAGCCATAAATCAAATTGAGCAATTAAGCTCACTAAAGTATCTATAAAAGATTTCTAGGGAATGTACTGACAAAAGTAATACAACTGCTCTTTATTTACAGTTACAGTTTACATGTCTTATAAATTGAGAGATTCCGTTAAGGAAACATCTTACCTTGTTCAAATACTTTGTCCTGAGTTTGCATAATAAGCTGTTGTTGTTCTGGTAAATTTCTTGGGGAATCAGAGAGTGGATCCTTGTCTTCAGTAATATTTGTCTCAAAACTTCTATTTTCTTGTAGCAAGCTATTGTAGAAGCCACCGTTTTGTGAATTAGGTGTATTTGTTAGTGGACTTGTATATGTTTTAGACTGATTAGCACTGTTCCAAGGGGGAGAAATATTATTTTGAGCAGTAATATTGACTTGACTTCCTGGTCTGGCCTGTGATGGTGGTGAACCCATATTAACATGAGGTGATGACTGGCATGGTGGAGCTACCAACTGCTGCTGATTAGGAATTGGCGCTGAGTGGACTGCAGTGCCATGTGATGATGGACTTGAATTAACAGTATTGTGTGATGTGTAGTTAAAGGTTGGTGATGGTGACATTCCATTAAATTTTGATGTATTTAAGTGATTGCTCCAATGATTCCTTTGTTGTTGGTCAAATACATTAGGATTGACACTAAGAATTGCTTTCAAGAGCTCAGGTGTGGATTGTTGTGGAGCAGGGCTTACAGCATTTGGTATGGTTTCATCCTTTAAGTCTCTGTAAATCAAATTTTAGAAGTACCATTATAATATTTATCAGTGGACAGTTATAAAGTTTTAAGATGCAAAAACAAATTTAAAAAATCTTACATATGCTGAACTGATGTCTGCATTAATGATTGCAATAATAATGATACTAAATTATCATCTCTCGTAGCAAGCAGAATAGCAGCTTCTTCTGCAACTCGTGGATGAAATAGCTGAGATTTGTTGTTCAATGTTGATGGTAGAGGAGTTGGAAGAGGTAGCACTGGTAGCACTGAAATAGTTAGTCATTTAAAATTTGTATATTTTCACATTGGCATGAAGGATGTATACACAATATTAAAAATAATAAAAACTAGGCCATTAACCAAACTAACCATTATAATAAAAAATAATGTTAATGGTCACTTATTTTTATATAAAGTTAGATGGTACTACATAGGCATACTAATCAAGCACTTTAATAATATGCCTTATACTAATGCCTGGACAAACTGTAAGATAAATGTTACAAAATCAAATTCTGTAAAATGTACATATGTAGACATAAACAAAGTCAACTTGTATAATTTATAACTATATAAAATATAAAGTGCCAATTATATACAACTAGTGCCTAATTTCTGTAGATAACAAATACTATGTTAAACAAAACTTTACTTATTATTTACTAAAGAAAAACGCATTTGATTTTTATATAGATATACTTAATCAGTGTTCTAATCAAAATAGCAACATGTACTATAAAGTGTACTAATAAAAATTAAATTCCTAGTGATGAAAGCATAAAAATTTATAAATAAATAAATGTAGTTTTATTTCTAAAAATAAAGAACATCTCCAGTATTTAGGGTAGTATTTCTTAGGTAATGTAAAAAACTCCCCTTACATTAGTTGATTTTTAGGTAAAAATAAAATTACTTTTGTGTAGAAGTGAACAAAAAGTCATTCTACCAGGTAAGATGTGCCTGAAAATAAAATTAATACATTTTCTACAAGGCATAAACATTGCTTCTATGAATGTCAGTTAATGAATTTAACTTTCTATAGTTAAATAAGTAGTGTTAATTGTGTATATATGTGTTCATCTGTAGTTATGATTTATGAAAGTATAAAAAAAATATAGTTAAGATTTCATTTAACATTGATTAATCATTAAATGTACTTTCATGTTAAAGGCAACATTCTTTATGCACCTCATGTGTATTTACAAGATACTTACAGTCAGTTAAACTGGCTACTCCTGCTAAAGTTGTAATAGGGACACTGGGAATATCCCTCTCGTTCATCTTGAGAACTATTTTGGTTTTATTTTGCAAAGTTGACTACAATTATCCTAAAAGTCAAAAAGAAAGTGTTTTCTCTGGTAATGTAACACACACTATTGGAAGTTGTTTGCGTAGTCGCAGTTTCCATTATCGTTTAAACTTCACATACACTTGTCACAATTGCACCTGAACGTCTGTAATTGCTATGAGCGCGAAAAATATGCCTTGAAAACTAGTTTGGATAAATCGTAAGATTGTTGTGAAAATAGGGCAGCCGTCAATTTGATGCTTTGTTGTGCGTTGTGCATCAAAACGAAGGTCAGCGCATCTGTATGACACTCCCATTAAAAAGTTAAAAGCATAAATTTTTAGCATTGAAGTGTTTTCATTTTAAACAAATGCCTACATACTCACTGGAACATAGTGAAAATTATTTATATCCAGGACAAACCAAACATTAATCCTAACATTAAGATAAATTATCTCAAGGAAATCTAGAGAACGGAGTTGCCATTTCTTTTATTTTCTATTTTCTACCAAAGAGTATAATCTACGGATCATAACTAGTAGAATGGACCATAGAATAAACAAAGTACGGCTGGTAAATTCATAGACAATTTATGAACAGAATAAATTATTATTTGATCAATTTAATTAAGAACAATAAAAGTATATTAATAATATACAAGCTATTTAAAAAAAATATTTACAACAGGTTACATTTATCTCAAAAACTGCTAAACCGACACAGCCGATTACTCTAGTTTTTCCGGGTATTCTAGTTTTTTGGACAAAATTCAGAAACGAGGGAGTTACGTATGTCAGTAATATTGTTTAATTATCTAATTTTCATACCTCATAAAATTCATCTTTCGTGTATGAAATACGAAAATAGTGGTAAGATATTTTATAAATATAGATATTATTAAAATAAAAAATACCTAATAATCTTTCAGCCAAATTTAGTTAGAATATATAAATTATTTATTATTGTTTTATTTCCTTAATCTATATTTGTCCGACTAACTCATACCTATTTAACATTTGCTCGAACGGTGAAGGAAAACATCGTGAGGAAACCGACATGTCTTAGACGCAAAAAGTCGACGGCGTGTGTCAGGCACTGAAGGCTGATCACCTACTTGCCTATTAGATTTAAAATGATCATGAAACAGATTTAGAAATCTGAGGCCAAGACCTAAAGAGGTTGTAGTGCCACTGATTTATTTAATTTTTTTAACTCATACCTATTCTATCTATGAATAGTCAAAGACCAAAGTCACTTATAATTATTCCCAATATTTTTTTTTAAATCTTGTCAAAATATAGCATTCAATACCCAAAAAGTTTAATTTCACTGTAACATAAATTATATTATGATTTCATAACTAAAACAATAACTGAACATGAACTATCAATGGGTTTTAAAATGTTCTTGTTAAAAAAATAGTCATTACCTCTCGATACTATAGTTCGTAAGAAAACTATTTGCAACCTATGTACGTAAATTCAAACAAGACTGTCTGTGGCTGTACGTCATCTGAATCCTATAGATTATGTTTTTTGCAAAAAACCGCCAAAATCAAATTTGTATAACATTACTTAAACTTTAATCTTCCAATCAAATTCAGTATATTTCTTTTGTACAGTTTTTCACTAGTTCTTAGAAATACTTAAAATGTTGTTATTTATTTATAGTATAGGTATATTAGATTTATTCTTTATCTTTATTTTAACGCATCTTTATAAAATTTCAGTCAGAATTCAAATCTTTTATATATGCGCCAAATGCAAAAAAGTACTAAAGAAAGTAATTAGTTCTAGTTGTGCGTTACGGTATAGAGTCAACACTCGACTACTTTTTTAGAGATCACATTTAAATGATTTTTAGTTGAAGTTTATCATTGATTAGTGTTCACACTGAATAAATCAAAGTTTATCAAAAAGGTTGTTACACTAAAGCCGGCTGCAGATTCTTGCGAGGCGCCTCGTCGAGGCCCTCGCCACGAATATTGGCAAGTCGAGGCTGAACGAGTGGTATCCACTCTCGGTTTATTTAATTTATGCTTATTTTGCTAAGGTGTCCTCCAAAAGTCGACATTAATGATGTTTTTTGGTTTAGTTTAAATATATTAAATTTTTGTTTATCTGATTCCACTTTTGTATTACAAATGATAGGTTCCTTTTGATAAAATTCTTTAAAAGCCATAAAAAAATCGTTACTCCACTCCATCATGATAAAAAAACACGCATCCTTATAGTGCAGTAGTTAACAAAGTGAGCAAGCGCTGGAGTGTGATACTTACGCCTCACCCTTCGCGTCCGTTGACTTGCGCCCCAAGGGCACCATCCTCCCTCTCGCGATCGTGTCTCGAGTTAAGACATTAGTGTAGAAATATGGAAATAAGAGTAAATAAAACCAATAAAATATTATTTATTACATTTTAATGTGGTTTTTTTTCGGTTCAAAGATACTTTATTTCTCAAAGAATTACATTCACTTAGTGAGAAATTTGAGGTTAGTAATGTACATCGTATTGAAACTATTTAAAAACAATATATTTTCATTTAGACATTGTTTTAAATTAGCTGTGCTATTAATCTAGTTAATGTAATTAAGATGAAAAGACAATTTTTTTAACCCATCTATATATTCTCTAACTTCTCTTGTAAAAGTTTAAAAATGTCATAATGTTTTCTTCTTGTAACCAAATAAAAATAGAATATCAATAAAATATGATGTGTTAACTAGCGAAGTAAGGGTAGGGACTAGGGTTGCAATTGCTTGAATAGCCAAAAAAGTACGGGAATTTAGTTTTTTACCAGGGCCAATTATTAAAAAAAAATTATATACCTAGTGACAATTTTTTTTAATACTTTTTCCGAGGAGCAAAGAATTTTTAATGGTTTAACATATAAACCAATACAATTCGTAATTAAAAACGGTCATCAACTCGCTTTTTGTTAAATCAGAGATACATTTATTTTTCACATCAATCCACTTATTGGGAATGTGTTTGAGTCCACTTATTAGAAACAGTTTGAGCTAGGTATGCTAAAAACGAAGGATAAAACTCTGAAAATGTTAGAGATTTCGGCACTGGAAAACCCTTTAATGACTTTCTTCCAAGTTTCAATCGCTCCCATAATTTTGAAGAAGTTGTATTAACATTATTCAGGTTTTTTTCTGATTATTTGGAAATCTTGATACAAGCAATCCATATTTCTTCGAAAATCGAAAATTCATATCTTTACCACACGTTTCTTTGAAATTCGTTTGCATCAGCAGTTAATCCACGTATTATTTAATTTTTAAAGATTTAATAATACAAAACGGAGCACGGTTCGAATACGGGACAGAGTCAGTCCAGCCGGGACATTATAAACAAAGACTAAAATACGGGACGTCCCGGGAAATACGGGACGTCTGGCAACGCTAGTAGTAACCCATGCCTGCGATACAGACATACGAATGCCAAAACTTTTGACTATTTTTTTTCCGAATGCATTTTAAGGTAAAAATGCGTAGGTAAAATGTAACAGAAAATCTCAAAAGCTTAGAAATTGCGCCAAATTAAAGGAAATTTGTGAAATGGTAAGAAAACACAGGAATTGGCGTTTGTCCACCGCCGCCGTCACCGGGATGTCACCGAGAACGAGATTATTTCGGGCCGAGTTTAAAATGACGTGACGGCGATCGTGTGTGCACCGCGCCGATATATCAGTGGCTCAGTTCTAAGTAAAATTATATATATATTATTACTTAGTTCAGTTCAGTTTGTAAGGAGCTGCAACCATTACACCATGCTCCACATGACATCTTTAATAATAAAATAAATTAAAAACAAAGATTTGTCCTCTATGAGCCGGAGGCATGGTGAAATAGGAGCACGCACTTACATTTGCGTGGGAACAACATGCAAACAAGTGTGATCATCACGTGTGGACAAGAACAAACGTGTTTTGTATAGCCGGCACATCGGCCCGTCACAAAACCGGGCCGAGTTCTAGCGGTCACGTCGAACTACTCGAAATATCGGCGGCCGGGATGACGGCGCTCGGGTGACGGGCGTGCGGTGGACACACGGTAAAATTAAATGTATGTATCGCTAAATCGGCGCCGTCATCTCGTTCTCGGTGACGTCCCGGTGACGGCGGCGGTGGACAAACGGCTATTGAAGGTTCGCCAAGCACAGAGAAAGCTGAATGACACCATCCGAATCATGTTTAAAACCACTGAGTTTATTGGATAAACTAAGAATTTCCCTTTTTATCTTGATATCACTGACATATACTACAAACAGAGTTTAATTACTCTAATAAAATGAAATATGTATCAAATGTTAATACACGCGATTCGTTGACATTTTGATTCGTTAGCTCGCATTGATTTTAACCTTTTAACTTTACCTACATCATACATGATCTGTGATTTTAATTTTTGACATAGTAACGACTGCTTTGTAAGTATATTTTGTTCGTGTGAGTAATGAGTATATTGTCCTCAATATAAGTACATAATATATTGCACATTTAAAACTTGCATAGCACGTAGGATCCGTTTACTTGACCTCTACATAATATTTAAATTACATACAATGAAGAGCCTTGGAGTGTCCTGGTTTCTAAAATACACTGGTTTATCGATATCGGTTGCCTTCGGTATGTTACATTTGTACAATAAATATATTGAACGTAAAAGAAGGAATGCATTGGAAGGGAAGGTAAATGACTGGTCAGAAATTAATTAAGTTAATATTTTTATTTTAAGTAACTTATTTGAATATTTGCAGGTTGTGGTTATTACTGGCGCTAGTTCAGGCATTGGGGAAGCACTGGCCCATGCATTTTATGGATATGGTTGTAATGTGATATTAGCATCTAGAAGAAAATCTGAGTTAGAACGAGTCAAACAGGATCTTTTGTCTAAAAAAGTGGTGTGTATATATTCAACTTCAGTGTACTTATAATGGTTGTTGGTTGGATGGTTGCCCTATAAATCACTTAGATCTATCTAAAAAAATATTTTATTCTAACAAATCTAAATCTATTAATAAAATAATATAAAATAGATGTTATAGGTTTTCTATGTGATGGAAAGCTGAATATGGAAAAACTTAATAAAATATTTGTTTTTACAGGAGAATGCAGTGGTTGAACCAGTAGTAATTGAGTTAGATTTAGCTGATAAAAATCAGTTTGAATTATTTATTCAAAAGGTTCATAATGTTTGTGGAAAGATAGATATTTTAATAAATAATGGGGGTGTTTCACATAGAGACTCTGTTATGAATACCAAGATGGATGTTTACGAAAAGATTATGAACATCAATTATTTTGGCTCAGTGGGTCTTACTAAAGGTAGGCCAGTATGCATAATAAGTGTCATAATCTATACAAGTGCAGGATATATTATATATCTTATCCTTATCTTCTACTTTCACTACCACAGCTGCTTTTCTAGATCTTCAGTATCTAACAAAGTAAATTTTATGAATTTGAATGAATTTTATTCCTTGGGGTAAGAATCTAAAATTATGCAGTGTTAAAAAACTTGAAAGTGTGTTTTAAATATATGTACATATCAGATAATATGCAATAATACTATAATGTAAATATTATTATATATGTTACATTATTGTGACATAAAATAAGATTGTGCAAAACATAATAAAATTAAAATCTCACACCATATATTTACCTCAGAAGTATTTAATAGATTTGCTGTTGGTGTTGTTTTATAAGTTAATTAAAACACACTAGTGACAGGTTTGAATGGTTACAGCTGCTTTGCCCAGAATGATTGAACAAAAAAGTGGCCATGTAGTATTTATTAGTTCGGTCCAGGGCCTTATTGCAATCCCTGATCGCTCTGCTTATGCTGCCTCTAAACATGCCCTTCAAGCATTTGGTGACTCACTACGTGCAGAAATGGACCAATATAACATAAATGTATCTGTTGTGAGTCCAGGATATGTTAAAACAGCAGTTTCTTTAAATGCATTGACCGGTTCTGGAGATAATCATGGAGGTATGCTATTCAAACAAATAATTAAAAAAATTTTTTTTTAACATTTGCTAAAGAAAAATATAATTTTTTAGTTATGGATAAAAGTACTGCCTGTGGATTTGCTGCTGAATATTGTGCTATAAAAATCTTAGACACGGTGGTCCAGAAAAATAGTGAACTGGTTGTGAGTCAGATCACACCCAGATTAGCCATATTTCTGAGGCAGGCTGCCCCATCATTATATTTCTGGATTATGGCTAAACGAGCAGTGAAGACTACATAAGAAACCCAATGGGATGCCCATGTTCAATACATTGGTTCATTTGATGGTTATTGTATAATAAAAAAGTAAAACTAATATTCATTTCTTTAAAGTACATATTTTTTTTATCTTAGGCATCAGTGTGTGCAATTATGATTGATTATGAGACAGGGAAAACTATTTTACTTAATTGGAATAAAAATTATATCTATAAAACACAAATTAGTTTTATTTGTCTGTAACATATTGTTATCATTAATCTTAAAGCACTACATTAAACAACCTTTTTAATTTACTAAAAAGCATTTTACATGTCTATAACAAAATATATTTTGTACAGATTAATTATTTATCTAAGTGTACATACAAACATAATATACTTTATAAGAATATACAATATTGTACAATAAATTAAACTAGATTGAGACAGAAGACACTAGAGGTATGGTTGAGTAACCATACTCGAAACAAGCTTAATTAATATAGCTTTGTATAATAGGGTTCACTTAAATGTTTTGAAAATTCTCCATAGACATATAGTAACTGCAGCTATAGATACTGTGCTATGTAAAATGATTTTTCGTCTATTATCTGTGCGTACCAGTACAACAGGTGTGGCAGATGTAAGGTCACTCAACATTGGCATGGTTGACAAGTGGCGGCGATCTTTTTCCTCTTGATATTTGCAACAGGGATCCCATTGCCATGATAGAGTATAGCAACCAGCACAAAGAACTGATACCAATCCAAAAGGTGTGCACATCAATGAATTCCAAGCTAAACCTATGAAGACAAAATAAATCTAAATTGACAGTTGTAAAAATTAAAGAAGAATAAAACATTAACATCTCAATTGGCATTTGAACATGCAAAAATCTCCAATTCTTTATCTGAAATATTAATTTTTGACCTTGAAAAAATTGTTTAATAAACAATATTTTATATTTTATAATAATAGGAAGATTTCATTTTATAATGGTTTCAGTGTGAATTTCCAACTTTATTGAGGTCTTACATTGATTATTTTAATAGCTAAATACATATCATTGAGCAATTTTATTGTACACTACATAAACCTCTTTTGTTTATTTTAGTACCTGATGATATGCTGCATAATCCACTATATAATGACACTTTATGTAACAGGTTACCAACGTAAATCCATCGGGCAGTTTCTTCTCCTAGTGGCTCTGGCTCTATAACAATAACGCTAACACCAGCCTCAAGTGCTCTTTCCAATTCCATTTCAAATTTAATGTGGGCATTTTCACTATCGTACACTTCTCGTATAATAGCAACGCTTGAAGGTTTGAGATCACTACAAAACAGGGGTTTATTACAATAAATCATATATATTTCTTTGCATATTTATTGCATTTGACCAACATATAATTACTGTCTTATTTAATTTTAATGAAAATTTTCTAGTTTTCAATATTTACAAACCTGTCACTTTCATCACCCTCCATGTTTACTGTAATTTATACAGAGTACAGAATACAAAGATTATACAACTATCGATATAATATGTTTTTTTTTTTTGGAGTTTATGGCCTGGTATCTCTAGACCTTTAGGCCAATAATATGAATTAATTTGAATTGAGTATTGCCATATAATATTCTCGATATGCTTAAAGTCACAGAATATATTTTCAAATAAATTTTGTCCCGACCTTTTTAGACGTAAATATGTAAAGATAAAGTTATGTCAACTATCATTTGTCAAATATAAACAGTTTGCACCTTTGGTTTAGCATTTAGAGTCTGGCTAACGAAAGTAGATACTGGATTTTTTTTGTAAACTTTTTATATGACAACACTAAAGCTAGTACGGTCAAAATGTCTTGATATTTTTTTTATTTTAAATAAGTACATATTAGTTTTAGTTACTTTAGATAATGTTATTGTTCTTTTACAGATAGTCTTTAGATTATTAGCCAACGGTTATTAATTTAAGAAAAACAAAAATGAACGTTCATTATTAATTGAACGATATGATATAGCTGCATGGAGACATCGCTTTTTGCGTACCATTGCATCGAAACGTGCAGAAGGCAAGCCAATAATCTACTTAGATGAAACTTATGTCCACAAAACCTATAAGCCTAAAAATTGCAAGCATCCACTAGTAAAATAAAAATGAATGTCAAAGTATTAAAGTGAGTTGTTCCATCTTTCCTTTTTACTTTAGGGCTGCCATGCTGATATTTTTTAAATTTGTCGCGTTTTTTCAGTATCAACTTTCATTAGCCAGACTCTACTTCTTTTTGATCTGTATTTAGCGCAATTATCTGCGCAGGACACATATTATTATTTATAGAGGTCTAGATACCAGGCCATAAACTCCAAAAAAAAAAAATTATTTATAGGTTCCCGCCATGTTAATTTTTTAAATAACGAACTAAAAAAATCTCGGTCTTACAAAGCCACTGTTAGTTACCATAGTTAGTGCGAAATAATTAAAATAATCATGTTTTAATATTAACCAAAAATAATGGTAACCATAGTAACCAATATTGAATAATCGAATACACCATTTCGGTCTGCATTTAGGAAGTTGGTCCCAAAGTTCTGTCATTGGCACATTATTTTTAAATTTCCAGAATGATTTTATAAAAAAAATATTGTAATCTATTTTTGAATGTTTGACTATTGTTTTAAAACAAAAAACAATTTAAAAGCAATAAGGCTTAAGAGATTGCGGGTGTTGTTAAACCGGTACATGAAAAAATCGACGTGATATCCTCTTTACGGAAGAAAAAAATTTCGATATTGAAGAGAAGTAAAATAAACAGAATGATAGAGTGTACGCTAGGAGTTCTGAAGAAGCTGGAAATAAAGTGCAACATGGACATCATCCATCATCAGTAATGGTCTGGTTGGGAGTGTGGTGTGTGGTGTTCCAGCAGGACTCTGCGCCTGCATACAAAGCCAAGACCACTCACCCACTTTTGGCACAGAGCACTGCTCTCGAAGCTTCCAGCCTATGGGCTACCCGAGAAATTATGTGATTGGATCTCCAGCTTTCTGGCCGATCGGAGCATCAAGGTCGTCATCGACGGAGCATGTTCCGACCTTAAACCCGTGAAGGCGGGGGTCCCACAAGGCTGTGTTCTATCCCCGACCCTGTTTCTTCTGCATATCAATGATATGTTGCAACTTAGCAACATTCATTGCTATGCGGATGACAGCACTGGGGATACTCTTTACACTGGCCGGGCAGGTATTTCTCGGGCAGTTGTCGATGAGTACCGGAACAAACTTGTGTCTGAAGACGAAACTCTACTACGTGGAGTCTCAGACTGGGGCAGACTAAACCTAGTCCAATTTAACCCCAAGAAGACACAAGTTTGCGCCTTTTTCGCTAAAAAAACACCCTTTGTCGCTACTCCTCTTTTCGAAAACACTCTTCTTAAAGCCACAGCCAGCATTGGAATACTTGGCGTTGACATATCGAACGACGTTCAGTTTCGCGGTCACTTGAAGGGAAAGGCTAAATTAGCCTCCAAAAAGCTTGGTGTGCTCAGCAAGGCGAGACGGTACTTCACTCCAGGCCACCGCATGCAACTATATAAAGCGCAAATTCGGCCCCACATGGAGTACTGCTCTCACCTCTGGGCGGGGGCTCCCCAATACCAGCTCCTTCCACTTGACCGTATTCAACGCACAACGTTCGAATCGTCGACGGCCAATCCCTCTCCGAGCGGCTTGATCCTTTGGCGTTGCGTAGAGATGTGGGGTCACTCTGCATCTTCTACCGCATTTACCATGGAGAGTGTTCAGAGGAGTTGTTCGGATTAATACCTGCAGCTGAGTTTCGTCATCGGACGTACGAAATTCCAAACGTATCACCTCGAGGTCCGCCGTTCCACAACTGAGCGTTTTTCAAGGCAGTTTTTGCCGCGCACCACTACTTTGTGGAACCAGCTGCCCACTGAAGTATTTCCGAACCAATTCGACTTAGGGTCCTTCAAGAAAAGAGCGTTCCAATTCTTGAAAGGCCGGCAACGCACTCGCGAGCCCTCTGGCATTGGGAGTGTCCATGGGCGGCGGTATCACTTAACAACAGGTGCCCGGTAACAACTCCTGCCCGTTTGCCCCCTGTTCTATATATAAAAAAAAAAAAAACACTCAAGCCTGGTTTAAGCGTCAAAACATCGACATGAGGATTGGCCTTCCTCCAGTCCTTGGACTATAAAATTTGGGAGGTCTTAGAGAGGAAGGTCTGTGATAAATCCCATAAAAATTTGGAGAGTCTGAAGTCATCTTAAAAAAAGCAGTCACTGAAATCGACTTGAATATGGTGCGTGCTGCATAAAATTTATGCTATTTCTATTCCTTAATTAATGTACTATACATTGGTATGTCACTCATTAAAAACTGATCAGGACTTTTGTTTTTATCATTATTTCCATTTATGACAGAACTTTGGGACCGACTACGTAGCACTAAGGCTAAAAATAGATTATTTGAATTTTCGAAATATTCGAATCGAGATTATCCCATATAAATTAGTAGGTATGTTAGAAAAAAACTTTTTGTGGCACATAAAATCTTTCAAGTGGGATAGGAATCATGCTTTAATTCTCGATTATCATGACGCCTTTAACGCCGCTCTTATAAAATTATCAATAGCTTTTTGCTTCAGTTTTTCATCAGGCACTGCGTTTCGCGATTGATAAAATATGTATGTGCGTTATACGTTTTATTAAATGATAAATGAATTTGTCATTAGGTATTGAGTCAAATGATAGTGAAATATCAGTTTTAAATACTATCAATCCACTGTCTACCCTTCTTATAAAATGCCTAATGAGTAGTCACAGTACTTTTTAAATAAATTTATTTATTGGCATTGCGCAAAGGGAAAGCCCCGGCCCGGCCCCCAAAATTTTTTTTTCCCCTTTTTCCCCCCCCCCCCACCCCCCCAAAAAAAAAAAAAAAATTTCTATATTTTTGGGCCCCCCCCGCCCCCCCTTTTTTTTCCCCCCCCCCCCCCCCCCCCCCCCCCCCCCCCCCCCAAAAAAACACCCCCCCCCCCCCCCCAGGGAGGAAAAAAAAAAAAAAAAAAAAAACACACCCCAAAAACCCCCCAAAAACCAAAAAAAAAAAAAAAAAAAAAAAAAAAAAAAAAAAAAAAAAAAAAAAAAAAAAAAAAAAAAAAAAAAAAAAAAAAAAAAAAAAAAAAAAAAAAAAAAAAAAAAAAAAAAAAAAAAAAAAAAAAAATGACCAAAAAGAAGATTTTAAAATATAACATGATATTGGAATTTTAAGCTGAATAATTCTAAAAATTTCAGTAGTTTGGTTTAAAAGTATGGATGCTGAATGGTTGACTAAACTTTGTGTTACAATACATATCCTATTACTCTAGTAGTACATAGTCGCAAAAAGTCTATAAATTCATATCCATCACCTATCACCTCTAATTTCATGTTAAAATATTATATTTTCTTTCACTTACCACCCACTATTGCCATTCTAAAATCCGTTTGCCACATTAGGCAAAGGTGAATGTTGCAAGTAAAAATCTGACATTTAAAATGTTATATTTTCTTAAGACTAGAAGTTGAAAATTATCTCTATTACAATATAATAAGAACTATATTTCTGTACAGCGCTACTAACCGCTTGAGATAGTTTTCGAATAGATAACTGGTGCTTTGTGCTAAGCTATGATACATAAGCGGTCCGTGTGGGTGCAAGGCTGACCTTAACTGCCCACGAAACTTACTAAGCACTTATGATCCCCGATCATGTGGGATGTCAACAACTTTTGACATTAAAGTTTATATTTGGAAGTTATATCCTTGTTCTTAGGTTATATCAATTCTAAAAATTAATTATAACGCAAAACAAAATAAATTAAAATAAAATATAATAAAAAAACTACTACATAACAAACAAGGGCAACGAGCCTAATAGTCCTCTTCGATAAAGGGACTGTGGAAGACAAACGTGATCTATTAATTCCAGAAATTAACGCGTTCAACTCTATCTATTTAATATTAACATGAACGTAAATTACTTCAGAGTTGATTAATATATATATTTAAATTTATTTTGACAACTCAATTACACAGTTTTATCATATTTTTTTTATATTGGCTTAAGAATTTAATTTTTTTTAAATTCAAAGTTCGCAAACAATTATATATTTTATTGTATTCATTACTCTTGTGTTCATACATAGTTATCTAAATATTAAAAGTGCATGCTCTCATTTTCCTGTCACTATCAATATTCATTACAAAATTTCCTTGTTTTTACAGTTGATTTGATACACCTGTTTCAATAATTGTACTAGTATCTGCTCCTATTAAAATTACATACTTAATATTTTAGTTTTTTACTAAAAAGATTTTATTTTGAAGTAATTAAACAAATGTCCTCAATAGTAGTGGAAAACAATACGCTTAATTTACAATAAATGTTCTTGTAAATGTAATGATTAAATGAATTTGCTGTCGTT